ATTATGTCATTTTAAGTCAATACGATGAAGCTGCTTTAACTTACCTGCATTTGATCGGGCTGTATAACAAGTTTCCCCTGCAGACATAAGGACAATATTATAACATGAACACACTGTATTGGTCAATTATTATGATTACTTTTCGCTGCAATTTTTTATTTTATTTTTTATTTTTTGTTACCAAACTTACAAAGTATCCATTCATTGTGGTAGCTTGCAGCGTCCATCTGGATCCCTTTAAATTAGACCACAATTTTAATTTCCTCTTAGCAGCAAGTGATTTAAATGAAGTCCATTTAAATTAAAAACAAAATTTACTGTACCTTTTGGTCAAATAGGGTCCAGAACATTGGCAGTGGGATGTATAAAAAGAGGACTTTCAGCACCATTTTGATTTGAGCAATCAGGAGTTTCTACAAAACAGGCAGACTGAATGTAAACACAACAACATTATTCTTATAAGACATTAGAGAAATATATAAAATGAAACTTACATCATATTTTTCCTCTGCCCAGTCCATCCAGTGCTGTCTCCTGGGGTACTGATTGCTCCTGTGCCTGTAGCGGTTATTAATGGCAAACTGAGAGAAGAGCAAAGAGTGATACTGTTTTTAGAAACATTGATTTTTATAGTTGTTACAATAGCATTTATGGCTGATCACATGAATGCAGAAAAGACTTATATAAACGACTTACCCCAATACATTTACACACATCCAGCATTATGTTTCCCTCGGGTTCAGCTTTGTAGTACATACCACTCCCGACAATAAACACCACTGTTAAGGGAACATCACGGGCAAATCATTCGTTTCAGAATACAGTTTATTTACCCACCCTTTACTTTTTGCTTCATGTTTTGAATTAGTGCCCTAATAATTTAGACATACCGAGTGCAACCACCATTAATGCTGCGGGGACACCGAAAGCCAGGGAATAACATTTCTGCTGACTGTAGATGCCGCACTCCTGACCTGCAGATAGAGGCAAACAACTTTCATTCAACTACAACTTCAACTAAAAACAAGCACTTTTTCCTGCATGATTATTAGAATGTAATTGTTGTCATTCCTGCATGTTCATGGCACTTTAACTTGATATTTTACTTTAAATGCCTACCTCTCAGGATTGGAGTGATAATGGTGGACAGGAGACTCCCACCATTGATACAGAGGTAGAATACAGAGAAGAAAGTTCTCCTTTGCTTATCCTGCGTAGAAAGACAAGTCAGTAATGTGTTTTGCAAACAGTACAAATACTAAAGTGATAATTATCTATGTAAACCGCTGCCTTGTTGGTGTATGTCTTTGAAAAGGTGGTCGAGTTGTATTAAACTCATAATATAAATGGGTTACAGCATAAGCTTAGTATAGCTATATAAGTGGTAATTCTAGGCTTTTAAATATTAAATAACAACTATTAGTTAAACGCATGGTTCTCTAAAGGTTACATGGGTACAAGATTGAGGAAGATGAACAATTTGGTAACTATAGTAACTTAACCACCAATTTAAGATTGCACTCCTCTAACAACATCAAACACCTGTTTAGCCAAGAATATAGATCTCTACATTACTCACACTACACTTGGCTGTGTTATACTGGTGGTTCAATCCGGTGTGTCCCAGTTATAAAGCTTGAATACATTCACTTCCTAATTACTATCATTTCTAGCTTTTATATCACATCATGTATCATAAAATAGTTCACGTTTAATTTTAGATTTATTCCATATTTTGATGAACAGCACATTATACAGATGTGACATGCTTTTGTCTTTCCCTCAGATTTTTTTCTTATTTTTAAACTGTAATGTTCACAACCCAGAGACAAAGGTTTCTTGGACTTTACAGACAGATTTCCTAGACCCCTTCTTCAGGAGCCACACATGTAGTACTGCTACCCATCGTTAACCACCATCACCTCAAATTTGACATAATACTCATAATTCCCATCAGCCACATCTTTAATTTGTGTTTGGCTTGAATGTAGAAATGTTAGCATGCTAACAGGTGAAATAAGAAACATAGTAATAGGTATACCTGTTCGTCAGTTTTAGAATTGTCATCGTGAGAAAGTGAGTGATGACTTTGCAATTTATCTGAGCTCATTTTTATTATCACAGAATTTGATAATGGAGAGTTGCATAGAAACCAGGGGGAACAAGGGGATATATTACATGCAATAAAATACTTGAACTATGGATGCTGAAATTACACATTCAACCACATGCCAGAGGTTAAACATTAGAAGAAGACTCAGCCAAAGAAAGTATTTTGAGAAAGTTAACAGTCTAACCTGGTGCTCACTAAATTGGTCTCCACCAAAAGCAGCCACACAGGGTTTAATGCCACCAGTGCCCAGAGCAATGAGGAAGAGACCCACCATGGACAACGCACTGAATGTGAGGAAGAAGAAATGAATGAGCGCGGTGCATTGTAGAAATATATGATGGAAACTGTGACTCAGTAATTTAAAACTTCAGAAGAAAAGATACCCACACATGAAAGGTCATGTTGTCTGGTGTCCCATCTCTGTTTGAGTCGGTAATGTCATGAACTGCACTGACAGCCATCGCAACCTGTCCAATTGTATAGACAATGGACAAGTAGACGATAGTCCTGAGTGAGGAAGATTGAAAAAGAGCAGTGAGAAAGTACACGTGTACGTTCCTTAAGTAAAGGCTCCACTCGTCTTTACAAATGAACATTCAGAATTAAATTATGAGCATTTTATTCATTAGAAGACTAATACAAATTTTGTACTATTATGTGTAAAAGTATTCAGTTAAATGCCCTTTGTCTGTCGTATTATTACACAGTTATCAGTATCTGCGAATATGTTTCTAATCAGTTCAGTAGAATTGAAGTTACCTTGGTGCAAAAAGAGGATGATCGGGTAAGCGCTGTAGCTATACTTATTTAGATTCTGCCACAATAATAAGGCTACAAGAAATAATAGGATGATAAATGTCTTCATGCATTAAAGAGGAACATGATCTTGTGACTCACTTGAACTTTCCCAGCCAGGAGTCAGCCACAATGGCCCCAAGGATAGGGGTCAAGTAGCAGAGAGCCACAAAAGTGTGGTAGATGGATGTGGCCAAGTCATCATCCCACTGCAAGAAGTGCTTAAAGTACAACACCAACACAGCTGTGGACAGGCAGGGAAAAGAGGCCTTCTTATTTAATTATTAAATGTACATTATTTATAGCATAGGTTTTGATGTTGCCTTAAATTATGCTAATAAGGACCGTTGTAGTTCACGCAATAGTGTCATCCTCCAAAACAATCAAATAAAGGGTTGGTTTAAGCACAAAAATCAGAGGGTTAAGTAGGCTACTTAGTAATTCAAGTGTCCGTGTTCACTGTCATGGCTACATTATTCATGGTTCCTGGATGAAATGTTCTCACCTCGCATTCCATAGTAGGAGAACCTTTCGCAGAACTCATTCACAACAATGAAGAAGATACTGAGTGGGTAGCCACACACATCTTTGCTCTGGTGGGTGGTGAAAAAGTAAAAGGATGAACACCACACCAAAATAAAAGCGTACAAAACGAAAACTAAAACAAAAAAAATACTTGGACCTGCATAAAGCTGAATCGACGGTGTTGAGGAGTACCCAGAGAGTTTGTGGAATCAGTATAATTATTCTAGCCAACTGTTTGCAACTGGTTAACAGTAGTTACTGCTAGGCACTACTAGGTAGCTTAATTTGAATATCTTAGCACAATTTACTAATAGATTTGAATGTATCGCTGCAAAATAAATAAGAAGAAATTTGCTGATAAAATCAATATAGTAGAATAAAAAACACAATGATTGCTGATAAACACTGAAATGCTTAAAGTACAAGACAAACTTGTCAAAATGTAGCGCTTAATTACATAAATATAGAAGAAGAATGAATAGCAAAGTACAGCATATGCAACGTAGAAGCATAAATAACTTTAGTGCTGAACTGAGGTTTTTACAGAGGTACTAACATTTAGTTAATAAAAATATATCTTTATAGCTTTATTGGTATTTATTGCAGCAATAATACAGAGTTGGTGTATAAAGTGCTGACGTCTCCTTTGTTCTTATGTAGCTGTATAAAAAACCCAAAACTGTACTTTACCTTTCCTTTACCTTTCCCTCGTTTCTTGGGATCTTCTTTGTCTATGCAAAAATGAATGTAATTCTTATTATGATTAAAAAGCAGAAATAAAAGACTAATATGCAGGCCTACCAACTTCCTCAGTGTTATATAAAAAAAGCATTTATCTGTCAATGATTCATTGTGTGCAGTAAACAAGAGAGCGATAGATATGTAGATAGATAATTTATTGGTCCCACAAAGAATATTGTTGTGTTACAGTAGCAGGATAAAGAATAAAAAATAGTACAGTCTATTAAAAAAAACAGTGCAGTTAACAAAAAAGGTGTTACTGGCACCTGGTAAATATAGGTACACAACGGTGATAGAAAAAAACAAACAAAGAAAAGAAAAACTGTAAAAATAAGACTGAAACTGTGTAAGACAGTAGTGCAAATTGCATTAATAAATAAATCTGAGATCCTAATATGTTTGGGATCTTTGTCCTGACAGGTGCATTCACCTGTTAAACTCCAGAACTCTTCATTCTGTAAGTTTTTAAGTTAAGAACATGGAACTGGTTTTCTTTCTGTTAACTTCTCCCTCTTTGCACATTTTCATGTTGTGCAGCAGAATATTTGTGTTCTGTGAATTAAAATGAAAGAGTACATAATAATGCATTTCTTTTAGTCTTACCTGCCATGATGTGAAGCTATCACCTGCTTTCTGCTATAGCATAAAATCCCTTTAAGCTTCCTGCAGGGAGCAGATCATTTATCTTTCTCTGTTCACTAGTGGGAGTGGGAATGTTTCCTGTGATATTGCTTTTTATTAACCCTTGATCAGCTTTTCACACTGCCGACTGTATTATTTTTATGATGGGTGGGAACATGAGATATGGGAGCTAGGGAGTCAGCAATGATCTCTGAGAATAATAAGGTTTATTTCCCACTTATTTCACAAGTGAGCCAAGTGCGAGAATACCACAAAATGAAGTAAAACAAATAAGGACCTATGGATGCAAATGCAGAGAAATGAGTGTATTTTATTTAAAAGCATTAGGGAACGTCTTTGTTTACAGCAGAACAGTGACTTGTGTTAAATAAAGTTAAAAAAAAACCAAACATTTCTGCCCAAATAAAAGACAATTTCTGGAACATAAAATGATAAAATTTTCATATTACTTGCACAGTAGGCGTCCTTTCCCAACACCTCATCACTTTGGCAAGAAGGTGAACGTAATCTTTACAGTGTATGAGCCGCACACAGCATGATACTTTGCAAATATTGCACACACTCCTTGTTTTATATACACATTAATACACAACTTTGAATATACCTTTTTGTATGCAATGGCTTTAAATACTTTAAAACTCTCCCATTCTAAGACATCAAAGTGATTTAAGGTTGAATGCTAATGTTACATCGTAGCAGGCCCTTATTCCAAAATTGCATTTTTCTAGAAATATACCTTCATGTACAGGGAGAGGAGCACTGATGTATGCAGCATATACCATTAATCAAGACATCAATACAGTCGCTTATAAAAGTGAAATATTGTCCATAAAAAACATTGTGAAACATTATCAAAATAAACAAAAATGGACTGTTGGGAGAGTGTAGGCGTAATGTAGTGACATGCATATTAAAAAAAATCCCAACAGGAATGTTTTTAAAGAAAACACTGCTCAGTCTTTTCAGGTAGAAACACGTAAAGACAAGACAGGTTATGTCTTATCAAGCATCACGCCATCATAAAGGAGGAACAAAGTCCGTGTCCTGTCATCTCTGCTGCAAAGAGTCTCATCTTTGTCTTCCCCCCACCTCCATCACACAGCCACCATGCTCCCTTATCCATGTTAAACAGGTCCAGTGCCTTGCTCATATTGGTCTTCGGTGGCCAGACAGAAAATAGAAAAATGAGACTTGTCTGTTTTTCCCATCAGTTTCTCTCTAGGCTGAGAAGCAGGATTAAGTTCTGGAGTGATAATATGGCATCACTGGCATGCCTGCGTTGGCAGGCTTAGGCAGCTCTGAGTTTCACCCAGGCTGACATCAAACCACAGAGGATGAGCTGGGAATGCCCTGGATGGTGGCACTGGTTGGTGTGCCACTGATGGCATTAAAGATGTGAAGCGAGTCTGGGAGAACGCTTTTCATGCCATCCTCCACTGGAATGATCTGGAAAGAAAAGAGTGTGTAGGGAAGAACAGACAGTCTTAGCAAACAGTTACTGCAAGTGAATCTTAATTTTAACATTGCTCTAGTTAGCTTTCTTGCTAAAAGTTGATGAGGACACTGATACTACTCTCATGTATATATGCAAAAATATGACGCTACAGATGGAACACAGCTAGCTTAGCTAGGCAAACAGACTCAAAAAAAGAGGAAACAGCAACTTCTGTCTAAATAGTAACAAAAACTGTCAGTTAGCACTTCTAATTAACTAATTAACATGTCAGGCTATTAGTTGGCTTTGAACAGAGCCAGGCAAACAGTTTTTCCTCCCTTTTGAGGTTTTGTCTCGGGTTAAGCTAACTAGCTTGCTGTAGCTGTATATTAACCAAAGACATATAAAGCTAATTTAAAGCAAAGGTATTAATCAGGAAGCTTAACACATACATGAAACCAAAAACAGCTAGGTAAAAACAATCAATCCACAAAACACGCACACACAAAAAAATCTGAAAGCAGAAGAAAAATTTGTGCATGTATGTATGTATGTACATAAACAAATAATGTAAATTGATGTTACATAGCACACACATTCTGAATCTGATCCACAAACATACTGTTAATTCACACTCAAATACATGTAATGTACACACATATATGTACATGCATATACACGGTACATACTGTGTATGCGTGCAAGACAATAACTCGGCAAGCCAAAACAGAAAAAAAAAGCCAATATGTGATTGTTGGTGTAGCCAGACGCTGGAACAAGTATATTTAGAACAGGAATGTTTTATGTTTTGATTTTGGAAATTGCTGCAATAGAGTTGAAATACTTGAATGTTAATGGCTTCAGTCTTTGCAAAGGGCACTTTTTGCAATTTCCTGGTGAGCTGACTAAAATAATATTTTATGTGTGGCTAATTTCAGATTTATTGCAGGGATGTAAAGATAAGTCAGTGGCCTGATGAGATAACTGTGTCTCAATCTATCTAGTGTTTTTAAGGTCCTCTAGCTTTACCAGCTTAAAAAATTCTAATGATATTATTAAGAAACATTTGGCTAATTAGAATTGAGAACAAGGACTTATTAATGTTTGAGCCTGTTTTATAGTCTAAAATGTAATGTGTACACCAATTCCACCTCAAGCCACTTTGTACCATCAATCCTTAAGTTGCACAGACATCTGACGGAACCAACAATTAACGGTCTTTATTGCACACGTATTTGTCTTTCATTACCATCATATCTGCTCATGTCAGCACAAAGAGAGAACAGAGAGTGATGTTATCAAAGAGCCCATTATCACTTAATCAATCATATAAGAAATGACACACTGTCTACCTGCCAAAACCCTAATTCAGAGTCAGATTACAGGTATAGCATTAGCAACGCTCAATGTAATTACACTATTACTTGGGCTGAGCAACAGCTAATGTACTTACTTGTTCGTGCATGATGATGGACAGCTCTCTGGCTAGTTCTCTGTAGTTGGCCTTCATCTCATCGTGGTACTCCTGCTGGTCTTCTTTGATCAGTCGTTCATTAATGCCCAAACCGTGGCCACACGCATCCACAAAATGCCTGATCGCAAAAACAGTGTTAAAATGTGCTAAAGGGAGATCTGAACAATCTTTGCACAGAAACACACACAGTCATGTTTTCATATCTTTGTGAGGACATCTAATTGACATAATGCTTTGCCCTAGCTGCTTACCCTAACCCCAACCATCAAAAATGAAGTCTAACCTTAACCCTAAACCTAACCATAACCTAATTGTAACCCTGACACTAAAACCACATTGAGCCTCAGAAATGCCTTCAAACTTCTGGGGACGGGAACTGTGTCCCCATAAGGGCTGTTGGTCCCCACAAAGATATGCAAACGTGGTACTCACACCCTCACGTAAGTCAGCGACAGCTCACCTGAAGACCTCTTTCAACTGTTTGACCTTGTTATCAGGATATTTCTTGGCACATGTATCATCGAGAAAAGCTCTGGCATACGCAAGAGGTCCTGCATTTACCTGAGGGCGGATGTGATAGATTTTTTTTTTTTGTGAGTATTGTATGTCAGGTTTGTATTGTGTTGCTTTTACGTTTCACAGAACTTAAAAGCAGGCACCTGGACGCTGATGCTGCCCTGCAGTTTGAGCTGCAGACGGATCATGTCCACCTCGCTGGAGGAGCACAGCTGTTTGATCTCAGCCACCTTCTTGCTCATCTCGTCGATGGCAACCTCGATGGGGCTCAGATCAGTATGGTGTTGATACATCACCGCGATCCGTTTCTTTACATACGGAAAGCAATGAGTGGCTGGAGGAGAGAAAACACAATGAGGTTAGTGGTGAATAGCGAATACCGGTAGACAGATTTTCTTAGTTTTGCAGCTCAGGATCTGTACAGCCTGTGAAAGCCGCCACATAATAAAGATAAGAAGACGTGCTTGAACTTTTGAATCTTTTGCACTATAAATGAATAAAACCAGATTAGGATTACGAAATGTCCATGAAAAAAAAAAACAGCTGACATGTTCAAAATCTAATCAAGATCTTCATTCATCCACAGTGACTAAAATAAATGGAAAAAATTACGTGTGTAATGAACAGTTCAAGGCAGACTTGCTCTGTTGTGCTGCCCAAAAAAACCACAACCCACTCCCCCCAAAATAGGAGGAGGCAGCCAATAATTAGAGAGAGAAAAAAGTATCTAACATTTAGGATATAAAGAGATTAAGTAGACTTTAATCAGAAAGATCAGTTGAAGTCTGATAATGGGTTTATCCTGTATTTATCAGATCACTGTATTTTGAAAACACTGATGTTTATCCAGGCAAGAGACATCTAACAAGACACAACCTGAAGACTGAAAGTCAGCGCTGTTTGACTGAATCCATGTTCCACTACAACATAAATATAAGCTGGGTATTTACTGGTAAGTATAGTCCTGCGTTTACACTGCTCCTCCACACCGCCTTGCTTTTTGCCCGAAATGGTGAAAGGCATCTCGAAAACAAATCGACGGATGTTGTGGCTCTTTTCAAAGTCCGTTTTCCTGTCGACCAGCTCCTTCTCCTCCAGGTATGGAGTCACATGTGTCACTTGGATGTATGCGTACTTTGAGTCCAGGTCCTTGGGGTTGATCTGCAGAGAATGCATGAGTTTTAAAACTGTATCAGCCTGCGCAAAATAACTAAATAACTAAAAATAAACGATAAATTAACAAAAGTCTCACCCGCCCAGAGTCCTGAATCATCTTCACATTCTCCTGACCAAACTTATCAGAGTATAACTTGAGGAGCCGCTGAGAAATCTCTGAAAGAGGCGTGAATTTGGGTTCTTTGTAGATATACTCCTTCCCATCTTCATCTTCAAAGAAGCCCTAAAAAAATAAAAGAGGAAAAAACCCATATAAGATACTTTCAAATTGTCAGACTAAATGAAAACGCAGCGTTTATCTAATAGATAATACCACATCAAACCATTCATGGGTTGTGAGTGGGAGTCATTTCAGTCAAGACATTTTTTTTAAAGATATGAGAATTTGGCCGACTCCAAACTATCCACAACCGTCTATTAAACATTTAAGAACAGAGACCAAAACTACAAAAAAGCCAGTCTTAGGTCGTTGATGTGAGACACGTCAAAGGACTGACATAGGTACATGAATTTCACACAGTCAGTGCATGTTAGTTATTTGTCTTGAATGTAAATGGGAATGGGAATGCCAGTGAGATTTATTAGCCCTTCAGCTGTTTCCTGCAAAGATTAGGATAGCACTAAAGCTGGAAAATACGAGGAATTAAAGGGCTGGAAGATAAGCAATGCACGTGAAACAGCACTGACTGCATTAGCAAAGGAGCACAACACAGCCTAAAACGTCACTACAGTTCCAACTGAAAGGTTGGCTTTCATATTGATTTACCTCAGCCTCTGAGTCAGTAAACTGGTACTGCTACAGGGGTGTGGACAACACACGCACATACACATAAAAACAAATGAAATTACTGTTATACCAGAAACCTATACTGTGAAGAAATTTAATGGCATCGATTTCTAAAAACATCTCAAAGATAGAAGCAACCACACCCAACAAATTAATTAATAAACCTTAAAATAACAGTCATTACTAAAACTTAGCAAACTAAAGCATAAACACTTGATGAGTAAATGAGTGCCATGCAAAACAGTCTCCCAAACGGAAGCAGCAGCGCTGACTGCCTGCTACTGTAGCTCGAAGCAACAAACTATGGCTGAGAAGTGCAATGAATTGAAGCAACACACAGACTCAGGCCGCTCACAAGGGCTCACGGGGTCTACTGCATAACTTACCGCTGCCTTCGAAGAGGATTAAAAAGAAGCAGAGAGGTGTATTAGAGCGGGTCTGAAAACACCACAGCACGTGGTCATGCTCGTCAGCATAATAATCGTAACTGAAAAACCCCCCAAAACAAAACTTAACCTCCTCAGCAGCTGCCGTGCTTCAGACATCAAGTGTGAATGAGTCTAAGCTAGTTGAACTCACCTGGCCAAAGAAAGCCACTCTGAAGTACGTGCCCAGCATCCTCTTCCCAGTATGCATGACCTCCGTCACCTTGCTGTACGCTCGATGCAGCGTGTCATACAGGTGAGCCAGTTTCTGTGTAGAGTCAGTGAACTTGATCAGGATTTAAAGATGCTTATGCTGCACGCTTAGCCTGAATCGAACAGAACTGTTGCGGGGGGGATAAAACACCCGACAAATAGAGTTTGTACCTCAAAGTCCCTCCGCTTCTCATAAATGGGGATAATGAGCTTGTAGATGTCAGAGATGAGCTCGTAACGCTCCGCTTTCCACAGCCCATCTGCGCACTCCTCCAGAAGCTCCATTAAGACGTCCTGAGGGATGAGCACAACAGAGATGGAGAGCTGCTGGTGTACAGTGCAAAAGAAACACAGCTCACAGCGTGTCAGCAGCTCATTTTATCACAATTAAAATGCACCAATTTTAAAGACATACTGAAAGAAAATAGTTGCCTTCTTTGATTTATTCTTTCTTATAAAAGAAAAATAGAAATAGTAACAGCTTTTGATGTGACTAAATCTGCTTTCCTCCAGCAAATGCGATTTCATTTTATTTTATTTTTTCATTTTTAGCACAAATGATCAAAGTACTTCATTAAAGTGGACGTCTTGCATTCCGACGTCCTCCATCATTGCGGCTTCTTCGTCGATGTTTGGAGTCACAACACGAAACGCCGAGCAGCCCTGCTTGAACATGCCTGGAAACACCGAAAGATCAGGCATTATTATTCTTTTTTTAAATCAACAGGGCTGCTATCTAATAAGCAGGAGAAACATTTCCATCACAGAATTCCGAAGTACCTTTTCTTCGCAGGTATTCTGCCACGAGTGCTGCAACGTGAACATAGCACATGGCTGCCTGCAAACGGCAAAAACAAGTCAGGTCAGATAAGCGTGGGTAGATAAAAGCTCTGATTATGCTGCAAATTGGTATCGCTCGAAAAAGCAGCACATAGTAAACAGGGCAGTTTGCAGCACTTGATGGTGGGCCTCGCTGCACGCCACACTGGCACTGGTGCTTTGATACAAAGTAAATACAGTCTCTATCTGATGTTTAAGATTGTTGGGCCCAACATCAGACACAGAAATCAAAAGCAGGACCATTCAGCCACACAGACTTTCACCACAAACCTCAGACAGGTCTCCATTCTTCACATGGATTCGGGCCATGCTGTCAAGCCAGGTCTTGCGCAGCTCAGGTGTGCTGGCATAAGACTTTGCGAGACTGTACTGCAGGTCCACCAGCATCTCTGGATCTCTCTCATGCTCCTTCATCTGCGCTGTGGCCATCAACACTGTTCTGATGCGTTTAGTCAGGTCTTTCACATCCGATGGGAAAGCTGTGTTCTGGTGAAGATGACGCACTAATGTGAGCTAAATCATCGTTAGCTTCCTTTAGGAAAACTTGATTCTAACTGGTTTATTTTATTCATTAAGCTCAGGCATAGTTTTCAAATGGCCTCTTTAAGTGGAACCAGGATGAACCTGTTGCACGTGTGTTCCTCACCTTGATAGTTTTATCACTGTTAGCACAGTTGTTGATTATTGACAGAGACTGCTGGAAGCGAGTACTTCCTATACCAATGACATCTGCTATCAGCTGACTGACAGCAATCACAACCTAAAGAAAAAGAAAGGTCAACAGTTCAAAAGAGGAATGAAAATGCTTGTGGTCTCTAGAATCCCAGAAAATTTGGCTTAAGGCAGGTAGATATTAAAGTTTTACTGTGGCGACAACTCTCTCACCTGTAAATGTGTCCGGACGAAGGACTTGCGACCAGTGTAGTCAAAGTTGCTCTTCATGAGAAAATAGAGCAGATGGGCTGCGTCGCTGCGAATGGAGCTCAGCTTGGAGTTGCAACATTTCAAAATCTCATAGCAGAAAGCAGCACACATGTCTGCACGCCCTTCAAAAAACGTGCACGGGAACTAAGGGGTCAAGAAGACAAAAATCAGTCAGTGGCTTACGTGGTCCTCTCATGGGTTAACAAAAGGAGAAAAATTATTAAATAAGGCGCGTAAGTCCTTCATACCTTGTAAATGAAGGTGCGCAGTGAAGTGAAGACCTGCTTGAGGGCCGTTTCTGACTGATTGATCCGCAGGAAGCAGAGGTGGACATCAAACACCTTCTTCATCAGTGGACTGTGGCCGTGATCAGCACACAACTGTGTCTGTGGCATAAGAGAGGATCATCGGATTTAAAAAATAAGCCCTTATTTCACAATAATGGGGCAGAACAAGGTTAATTAAGTAAATACACAAAATACAGTGAATTTGTTTGGTACCTTAAAACTCATGATGAAGATGCTGAGTGTGTCCAGGACGGTCAGGCAGACTTCAGTGGCAATGTTGGTCTCCAGCAGTGACTGATTTAACACGTCAGCATCCGAGTGACTGTAGGCTACAAAGACAAGAAAAGGCTGTAGTTCTTTCAATCACCACCAGTACACTCAATGTAAAACCTCTCCTTTGTTATATATGGTCATGTCTCTCAAAAACGTAGCGTTAGAGGCAAAGCCGCTGCATGAAAGTTTGAGTTTCATTCCAAACTGAGGCCAAAATTATCTGACAAACGAAAGCATTTCATGGAAAAATTGTCACAAGCTGGCGAGGCATTTTTTTCTTTATAAACTACAGCGATGATTTTATTTGATTGCATGAAGTTCAAATGTTGACATTCTTTTTTTGGAACGTTTTGGAAATTTTGGAATAAAACCCTTCATAATTCACGAGGACTGCTTTCGCAAAGCGAAATGTAAAAATGTAGAGTTGAGAGCAGAAGATGAGCTGGTAAAGGGATGAGGAGGTTTTGAAAGCTGATGTTCTGTTAAAACAGGCATGCTCTTAAATCAACCAAATCAACATAGCCAGTATAGCAAACGTCCTAACATCCTGGTACATTCTTACCATGGTCTACAGATATGCCAAGAACACTTGAAATCTTTCTTACACTGAAAACACAAAGAAACTTATTATTAAATAATGCCATTTAACAAGATCACCGCCTAACAGTGGACGGCTGCACAGCTTCCTCCCCAGTTTCTTTGAATTTACTGATGCACACATGTTTTCTAAAGGCTTTTCCTGCTGGGATGTAGTATGATGGAGAAGAAGAGGATGCTGATGTTGAAAGAGAGGCATGAGGAGGACGAGGGCCCTGTGATGGAGAGTGTTTGATGAGAAGTACAGTATGAGGGGAGGGGGGGGGCACTTACTGTGGTTAAATGTGTATGAGTTATCCAGGCTGCTGAGCTGCTGTAAGCGGGCATGCATCATTCCCGCCCTGTTACGGGACACAGGAAGAGTCTGAGACTTCCGCTCATGTGCAACAGGTCCTGCCCCATCCTGGTTCCTGATGAGGAAACAGGATGAGTTAATGAAGCTGCAGGTTACGGTAAATAATACATAGATTTTGCAACTAACACTCGAACGCCCTGGGAGCGATTTGAATTTATGAGATTTTAAAGGCGAAAGTAAAGCTGTGAGTGCATGTTTGCCATGCAGTTTAAAGCTGAGAATAATCAAAGTGGTATTGACAGCATTTATTGGTTTAAGCTGAAGCCATGCATGTAAGAATGCGAGAGGCGATGAACTTAAAGCGTCGGATGTGTCACAGCACTGCAACTTTTTTTCTTTTAATGGTGAGAAGTTATCATGCAATTGCTCTCAGTTTCACCTTCAGGCTTACCCAAGCAGGAGAGGGCAGGAGCCAGGTTTTATTTCATTATGTTAAACTTGCCAGCGTTTCAGTGGACAGAGACAGAAACAGTGGTGGGGGGTTAGACAGAGTGAATACATAAAGCCTTCTGGGAGTCGCGGCGAGTTCCCAACTGTGATTCAAGTACAGTGCGTGTACTCTGATCAAATCAAATTAAAATAACAGTACAGTCAGACTCTTCAATAGTAAGCAACATGATGGCTTACAGACAACAAACAGCTGGATACTCATAAACTGCATAAAACCTAAAAGTTGCGTTGATTTGTCTTCTCATGATAAACAAGTGCTGAGAAGTATGGGTGACAGCAACATTACCTTGCAATGTATCTCTTTCCCATGTATCTGAACTGATGGAGGCACACTCTGAGAAATGGAAAGTGGGTATAAAAAATTAAAAAAACTCAGTTGCTATGTGTTTTTCTGCAATGCGTGTAATAGCTGGTTATTCTCTATAAGATGTCTTACTCGACTAAAGTGAAGAAGTCCATCAGGTCAGAAGATGATGCCTTGTTCCAGTATGTGAACAGAGCATCTAAAAGAGACAGAGATGGACACTGTGGAGACTTCTTTTGGGTTTGTTTGTTTTTTTTAAACGTAGTGTAAACAATTAAGTAAAGCTGGAAGAGCAGGAGCTGTCGCAGAGATGAGAGTTTACCTTCAGACATGCTTTTGAGCACATGTAAGAAACACATGAGGAGGCTCTTGATCTCTGCCTGGTCCAGTTTATCACATCGCAACAGCGGGCTTCCCAGGGTCGAGGCAGGTTGGTTCTGCAGGACAAACGGGACAATCAGGCATGGATAGAAAAATACATAATCCTACCAGTGTGTTGGCTCCAAGTAAGATTTGAAAAACTAATCAGGTTATTTGAGACTTACCACAGCAATGCCATAAAATCTGTCGCCTTATTTGATAGCATCAGTGCATTTTCACGATATTTTTGACCATTTGATAAACAGCAATCAATAATACAAGCATAGCACAACGACTGAATATAACGCTGAGGATTTTCTTGTTTGGCTCTGGCTTAAAACTTTTTTTTATGTAGGAACAACCGTGTGATGTGGGCTCTAAGCATTTGGATAATGATACTATTCCCCAGTCTTTCCCCACAACAGTGGATTTTAAATTAAACAATCAAGATGTGACTAAAGTCCAGATTTTCAGCTTTAATTCAAGGGGTTTAACAAAAGTATTGCATTAACCGTTTAGAAATTGCAGCACACATAAATCCCCATTTCAGAGGCTCAACATTACTTTAGCAAACTAGAATAGCTAAAAAAAAAATGTTTCTAATACTGCAAAATATTTGGTATCCAGTGATTGTCTTTAGTCTAGAACCCTGTGAAATCACCAAATGCTGTATTTCCTCCTTTGAGATGCTCTGTCAGGCTCGTATCACCACCTTCAGTTGCTGCTTCAGTTTTGTCTTTGGTAACTAAAAAAGCATGCTCTGCTGAAATTGTTATGGCCACTGAAGAATATGCAATTTCTTTGCCATAATAGACTTTAAGGTTGGTTTTCCAGTATGCTTTGGGTCAATGTCCTTTTACACTGTAAAGTGCTGCATGATCAGTTTTGGGCAGAGAATGAAACCTAATACTGAGCGTTCCAGTGAGGGAATGCCACGCTACCAAATACAAGTTAAACACGCCAGGTCTTTTATCTGCTTACTTTGCCATGGAATAGTGAGGAAATAGACCTCACCTTGTCCAATTGCTTATTCCTAAACAGTAATGCAATACTTTCCTTAAATCCTCTGAATAAAACTGAAACCTGCACTCTAATCATATCTTGATTGTTTCATTTCAAACTCACTTTTTGAGATTTACAAAGGCAAAACTACAAAAACTGTATTATTGTCCAAATACTTAAGAGGTTTTCAGAAGGTCAGAGAACTACACTGCAGTGAAATGATTCATCCAGATGTTGCAGGGATTTGTTCCCCCAGCTGAGGCACACGGCAGGGAAAAAAAACAAAACCCAAGCAGCGGAGCAGCAGCTTTACCGCAGCAAGAAGTTGGCTATATACCAAGCACGTTCCTTTGCCAGCAGTTAGTCTAGACCATGAAACTAGCTGGGGATGACTTCATGGAAAGCATGATGCTGTTGCTTTGGATTTTTAAAGGGTGTTTTGCAGACTGGAGAACTTTAAGGCTAAAATTAGGTTGGAAAGGCTGATGGGAACTTCAAAGTCTGGTACACTTTTGGGGCTTGAGCTATTCTTGAGTTGCTAATAGTTGTGTGTCTTCTTGCCCCCTCAGCAGGGAAATAAAGCAGCTGCTGCACACCAGAAACAAAAGCAGTTCCAACACTGGGTGAAACACGACAACAAAAATCCAGTCCTTTGTGTTTAAATCTTCTCAGATTTAGTTTGAGGCTGTTTATCAGAGAGAGACAAGAAATCACACAGCACGAATGAGAGGAAATCAAAAGCATGCATGCTTATCACCATCTGGAACAAGAAAAGCGCTAAACGCTCGTGAGGCCCTGAGGTAAAACACGTCTGCTTTACAGCAACAGAGAATAAACAGGACAAAGCCTGACAATCTCCTGGCAAAGTAAGGGCTTAGAGTTTAGGGCATCAACACACACACCTGCGCACACACACACTATCATTCCCAGATGGGACACTCCTAGGAGGGACTGTGTGGAGCAAGGAGGTGTTTTGTACTTGAAGTGAACTGCTGGACTGCAGGGCCCTCTCTGGCACACTGGGGACAGTGAGCAGGGAGAAGTCCATGGTGGCACGCTTGGAGTGCACGGAGAGCATGGACTCCTCAGTCTCCGTAAAGAATTGCAGGACATTGACAGAGTGTCTCCGTAGAAACTTCTCCGTCTGCCATGGCCAGCCATACAGTGAAGGTGAGGAGTTAATGGCACAAGTTAGCAAAGAGAGACTTTATGTGGCAGTTTTTCCCATAATAAGGGGACATCTGATGTGCCTGAAGTGCCATTTTGAATTGCATGTTAGACACATGCGTCAAAGAAAGGCTAAATTGGATTTCTAATACATATACATAAACATTTTCCGGGAATCTCAAAGCTCATTCTGTCAAATACCTTGTCAAGGGAACTGCCCTTGTCATTGTTCCTCTCAGGCAGGCTGTTCCCAGAATCAGTGCTGATGAGCGATCCACGAGAGTCGGCGTGGCGCACAGAGTTAATGTTGGGGGTGGACGCCGCATGAGGTGAAGCTGTAAAAAGGAATAAGAGTGAAATGTTACATAAAATAAACATAAAGTAACCTGAAAGGGAAAAAAAGGAATGTCTTATCATTTACCGGTGCCAGAGATGGCTCCAAAAACATCTTTGTGGAAGCCGGTGTCCAGAAAGGTGCTCGACCTCGGAGGTGTCATCAAAGTGTTGGTATGGAGAGAATCGTCTCTTCCATTCTGCAGGACAAATAAAGAGTTTAATGAATCAAACCCACATAAAACACTGTGTGTGTACTTTTTAAATGAAAGTTAACAACACGGACAGCTCTAAAATCTCTGATCAAAAGCACACACAATTATATTATATTTATATGTTACATTTATTTTGTAGTATTATTGAGATATTTTTACATGCATTAAAATTTGGAACAAATGGACACAGCACATGGATAAATACATAATACTCAGAAAACACACTAGGTGGCTCCCTTACACTGGTGCAGTGGTTGACGGTGAACGGCGACACTTCCTTCACATTTAGCCTGTTGACGTTTTCTTGGAGCAGACCAAACAAGGGCAAGTAGAGGGTGACTAACCTGGCCTGCTGGCTCTGAAAAACAAAATGAATAATTTAAAGAAATGTCTCAATATCACACACGTCTCACAAACACACTCATAAAGACAGGGACAGGGGTGTGAAAACACTGCTTACTTTTGAGGTGTAGCGATCGTCAAATGCATGCTTCATCATGAGGCTCTTCAGCACTTGGATGGCAATCTGACGAATCTCCCTGAACTCCTGCAGAGCTGCGCTGGCTTCCCTGAGCAGCAGTCCAACCAGGAAGTGATTCTTACAGAAGTCATCCGTCAGCGAGTAATCCAGCTGGAGGTCTGTGAGGATAAATGGGACGATAAGGAGACTAGGACTGACCGACAGGAGAAGTAGATGAAGAGTGTGAAAGGAGAAACCCAAAAAACTCACTTACCAATTTGACACAGAGACAGTAATCAGAAAAAAATGATCAACATTTAGAGAGTATAGCTACTGCAGCCAGCTTTAAAACTCATTATAGGCAGATGATTCTTATAAACATCATCAAACAGTCTAAAATGAGGAGAAAACAAAGGGAAAAGCTCAAACATTCATGTTTGACAGATTCACACTGTGGTTGAGCTGCACTTCCACATCAGCAAACGTCGCTGAGAAACGCGACTAAAGCTAGCGGCTGAACAACAGCAGGTTTCCAGCAGCATTTTAGACACGTAAAGAAAACCCAAACACATGACTTTATTCAGAAACCTTTTGCTTTTATCTTTTTAAAACCTGCATTTGAAGCACACAAGAATTAAAAAGATATCTGGTTTCTCAGGAACGATGGAAAATAGTTTACTCAGTATAGCCACAAACCCCCAAACCAGTTCAAGATAGAAACCCCCCCCAAAAAACAAACAAACTACAAGCACACCAAATCCCCCAAACCTGATGATGATGACAAGTAATAAACAGTCTAATCTGACAAGATCATAACCTGAAATCCCAGATGAACCAGCTTACAGGAAAGCTTAAAGAACTGACAGGTTCAGATTTTAGAGGAAATTTGAAACTAATAAACGATCGGCATTGAAGTCACGACACCTTCCACCTACCTACTGGAGTGTCACATGACTCCACAGTATTACATGGAGGTAATGAGGCTAATTGAGGAAAACACAAAACAAACACAGTGTACAGTGTACATTTTTTTAAAGCAAAAGAAATCGACTGCATGAGCATTTATTTATTTAAAAAAAAAACAAAAAAAACGCTGTATTTTATTGTATGTGTGCAGTATGTTCTGTGGGTACAAGTGCTTTATTTTGTAAAAAGGTTCATGAACTACTTTTGCGCTGCTGCCCTTCCACAGCAAAGCATTTTATATATGCAAACACTTTAGCAGTCATTATCACAACTTTCTCACCTTGAAATCTCAAAATCCGTCCCTTTCCAAACGGCATGGGCAGGTTTAAAGGGACGAAGTGCTCGTGGTTGCACACGACTCGCAGGAACTCAAACTTGAACTCAAACAGAGTCTGTATTGAGAATAAACCTCAATTAAGAATTATGGCTGATAATAAGGCTTTGCTTTATGACTTCAAGTTGAATAAATAAGTTGTTGTGCAATTTATTTCTATAAAGGCTGTTGCACGTTGTTTTGTCAGCCCACCTTTGGGTCTCCAGGCACAAAACAGTTGATATAGTTGTTGATCTGCTTGAACACAAAGCCTCTGTCCATCAGGTTGAAACAACGCTACAAAATAAAGAGAGCACAGTATATTAGTTACCATTTACCTAAACGAAAAGCACTTTGAAAGCCATCTGTGATAAAGTATCTCTGGTTTCTGACCTTGATGAAGACTGCCAAGCTGTGGTTGGCATTCCGGGCAGCATCTAGGTTGTCCTTGTATTTCTGCGTGATGTGTGGCATGATCATGTTGACCAAGGTCTCCACAGTGTGATGGAACGATGCAGAGAAGCGCTGGTTCCTGGACAGCTGGAGGGCACAGCAGGTAAGTTGTTACAAATGTTGTTATTCAGCATGAAACATCCCAAAGAACTCCCATGAAAAGATCAAAGGTTCAAAATGTGGGAATTGTGGTTTATTTGAGTCAATCTTACATCCTTCAACAGTAAATAAATACTCAGACTTTAACTTCAAATATGAATTCATCCTTGTTTTATCCTTGAAACAGAAATAATTTGCTATTAGAGCTAATGTAAAAATAGCTATGTAGCAGATAAATGGTTAAAATAGTAAGCTTACATTTACAGATGCATAAAATAGTTAAATGTAACAGAAACGGTAAGCTTATTTTTTTCAGCTCAAGCTTAAAATGATTTCTTTAATCCATGGATTGTGACAGTCCTACACATGAGAAGCAGCATTTTAAGGACATCATAGTGGTGGATGTTAAACACAGGGATGTGGTTGCCTATGGGGTTCGAACAAATGCCGCTAATTAAATTGCACAGCAGTGTGGGACAGACTGTGGATACATAAAACTTCCACTGTGGTGCTCCGGCTGTCCACAACACCCGGCATGCTGCAAACTACTGTGAAGAACCTAAAGTGTAATAAAGCGGGCATTAGCGGACACCTCGGAGTCAAGCGCACATGCTGCGGCGAACTTACCTTTACTTTACAGCTCTCAATCAAGTACTGAGCCATGGATTTGACTAAGGCTTCGAAGAAATACCAGGAGTACTGCACAACGGACAATTATCAGTTAGAGAACAGACGGCTATAATTAAAGACTGTGTAATCCTTTAAATAAGAACAAATGTGCTACCTTGAGCAGCTTGTTACTTGTGAGGAAGTCAGTGGAAGGCTTCAGGATTGCAGTCATGGCTTTAGCCAACTCCTCGTGCACCGTTCGGGTGGTGGAGGATGTGTATGGCTCAGTCTTGAAGACATACTGCATCAGAGACACGCAAAGACAGACATGTCAATTCATACGTGACTATATATAATTATGTAAAGGTCAAATACAACAGAAATATGGATCTGACATGTGAAATTTACCTTCACGTAAGATCTAAGGTAGTGCTCCAAACCTTCCTCGTGGCACTGCGCCACAACGTGAATCATGACTCTAACAGGACGAAAGGCAAAAGCTCAAGTGAGATAACAGTTTCTACGCTAAGATTCTGCTCTCACGACACTGGAAAATTAACTTCCATTCATGAATTCATTCATTTCTCTCTGATCACAGCAAGACAAAAGGGAAAAAAAAGGAATTTAGCAGTTATATTTCAGGCAAAAAGGGTGCAGGCAGAAGCAACAGCTTATATGTGACTACCCCTCACACATAACACGATATCTAGCCGATGGCAAACTGAGCTGCTTTCTTTCAATATTTTTAGCATATATAATGATATATGACTGATATTTCAATAACAGTAAATTGCATGGAATTTAATTTGCTCTATAGAGATGAAGCACTTCATGGATTCTTGCCTGGTGACGTTGACTGCCACGTCTTCCTGGGTGGCACTGGTTAGCACCCTGAACAGCTGATTGAGGATGGTGGGCAGGAACTTGATCATCACGTGACTCTCCATGGCATGCAGACTCTGAGATTAAAGCATCACCACAGATGCTTACATGTTTACAAAGGATTTGTTCACAAACCTTTTGTGTAAAATAAATGGAAATAAATGTTAAAAAAAACACGTTTAAAATGTGCATGAAAGGCTAATTGAGAAGACCTTCAGGGAAAGCTAATCTACTCACAACAGGAGTACACGTGTGGATAACACTGTGCTAATCATCCACACTGTATGCTTCAGCGCCTTGAACGTGGCTGAGAGCAGATACTGGTGCATCGGTGCCTGCGCACAGGAAACTAACACGAGCCTGCCAAGTAATTTGGCGGGTTGCCAGTCGGCACAGCTGACCTGCCGTTTGACCCTCTGGCTATTGTTTGTGTTCACTGCTCTGTTTATATTATAGCCCAAGAGATGCACTGGACCAAACGTGGCTCTCTGTGTCAACGTTCACCAGGGGAAAAGTAAAGCGAGTTTTCCCGTGGACTGACAGTTAGCGACGGAAAAGGCGATAACTGAGCTGCCAGTATCACAGAAAAATATGGAAAAGACATCATGCAAACTAGGAGAAGACCTCTGACAGATTTACTGGTATCAGCCCAGCCTCTGCAGTTAAACTCTGTATAAACGGGGAAATGGAACAAGCTGTGCACAAACTGTCCAGAAGGGTGCGATATTGGCAAGCCACAACACACGCGCACACAAAAAAAAAAGAGATCACTAATCTGCATGTGATTCAGCACCAGCCCAGTGTGACTGTTGCGTTACAACCAAACAAAAATAAGCATTTCCTTCCAACAACAACAAGAGTATATGCCGAATAATAACAACCACTTTGCCTGTATAGCACTTTTCAAAACACAGAGTTACAAACTGCTTCACAGTTTGAATAAAAACTGTCTCAGTAGCTCTGATATATAAGCAGGGGCTTGTCTATTTAGCGCTTTAAATGTTAATAATAGGGTTCATGAATTCTAGTTAATTGGAACCCTTAAATTTTGCAGTGACTGATTTACCTTCAGGTATTTGACCAGCTCTCCTCCTGACGCCTGGGCGCCTGATGCAATGGTTTGACAGTAATGGAAAAAATTGTGCAAATGCTGATCCTGAAAGACAAAGCGAAACAAAACCTTTGTTGCTATGAAGAGCACAAACCGAGAACACAAAAGAAATAACACACTGGTAGGGTGCAGACGAAACAGGGGCGGAAAACTAACCTGAGTGTAGACAGTGGACACAAGGTGGGTGGAAACTTTGAATAACGGTTTTCCTCCATCCACCCATTTCACTTCAGGGCCCAAATGCTGTAAAATGAGAAAAAGAAAAAGCATGTTTCTGTCACTACCTCCATAGACATGGATGCCACCAACGGGTGAGTTACTGTCTCTCAAAGCTAACTCCCAAGACCACAACCTGTTCTGAACTGAGTCAAACTTCTGTTAGAGATTTTGGGGAAGAAGTGGCTTAATATATTTTAAAAAGATCTCTCAGCTCTCTCTCCAGCTATATGGAGCTCTCTCAGCTCCATATAGCTGGACAATCATATCATAAAGTGAATGAGAACATACGTAGAGGGACACTTGAGAACTCCTATCCAGTGTCTAAAAGGTGTTTGTTAAGTGGGTTAGCAGCACTAAGCAACTGTCTGACATGCAATCTGGACAGAGCATATCCTACTCAGCAGTTTCATATTTGTGCTATGTATAACCTCAATCGGTTTTCATCAGCACTTTCATGGCTAGTAGTGCACTGCACCTTGCTGGCACCCTCCTGACAGCTGAGGTATCCGGCAGGTAGGTTGGCGGCAACCGGGATCTGACTCTCATTCATGATCACCCGACCGTCCTTCAGCAACGGGAGCCAGGCGTAACCAACTGAGAGCAGAGACAGAGTAGGACGTCATCAAATAAGAGCTTTGCATATCTGTGCCGAGAGTGTTATTTTTAATCATGGTGCCTTACCTTGCATCTCAACCTGCTCTCTCTTTTTGGTGCTGGCCTTGCTGTTGCTATCGCAGCTGACGTGATAGAAGGTGAAGAGAAGATGATGCTTCTCGTGGAGCTGGGTTGGCAACTCAATCTTAAACTGAAGCAGAGGAGCACAAATAAACACTCTGTCGTGCATTAATGTTTAGAACTTACAATGATTTTTTTTTTCTTTTAAAGGTTAGGTAGAGTGTGCTTACTTCATCGTAGAATTCAGGATTTTGCTGGTGATGTAACACGGAGGCAAAGGCATTTTTGGTAAACAAGGGTCCTCCAGGCCGGCCGTAGATGCACTGAGAAACAACAACAATAGCCCATTAACTCTCGGACTGATAGGATTATCCTCGGGGGATTTTTCCGCATATTTTCCTGCATGCATTTTACCTTAAGTGCAACAGCCTCTTCCTCATCCGAGTCCCTGAACTCGATGCAGACAGCTATGTTTCTAGCCTTAGGGCAAACACAAACGGCAAATCTGAAATAAACTGGCTGGAAATTTGCGAGAAACCTTCACAGAGGCAAAACATGTAATATACCTGCGTTCCTACATCAATAAACCAACAAAATAACAGCGCAGAATAAATGAAATACCTTCGCAAATGACTTTTGGCTGTCGTATTTCAAGTGCTTCGGGTAGACATAGAGGTGATTGTTGTAGATGGTGAAAGGCTGAGAACATTTGGCAATGCACGGCACAAACTCCTCCACTTCAAAGAAGATGTTGCTCTTCTCGCTGACATCAAACTGCTTCACAGGGATGTAGGATGAGGTAACACAATCTATAAGAGAGAAACAGGAAAGAGAGAGGGAGAACAAATATACAGCCTGCAGACAATGTAACCTGTCTAGTCTGAGCAGAAGCAGTTCTCATCTCTTATATTGGCTTCATAGGGTGAGTTTAGAGGGCTTACTTGACAAGTCTGGGGCTACGTTGTCAATGGTAACATCGAGGTTTCCTAGGATTACAGGCAGCTTGGCCATCTTCTCTGGCCTGAGGAAAGGAAAATAAACTCAAGTTAAGCCTTTGCTATCGTTTACCACAGGCCGAATAAGAAACAGGCGGCTGACGTCGAGAAATTCGATGAGCCGTATGTGAACACGTTAACACTTCTGAGCAACGATCTGATTTTTATATACTAATAGTCCAGCATTTTGCCAAAACCCAACCTATAGGCTCATATTTTCCTTACAGAGCACCTGCAAACTATTCATACAGTTTATATTAGAGTGGAGAAACATTACTAACTTCCTGAAATCAGCCAGCAGCTTGAGCATATCGTCGTTGGACAGTTTGTTGCTGTCTTGTCTGTATAGAGCGGAGAAGCGAGCAGTTTTGTCAAGAGTCCCTGAAGCATCTTTGAACAAAGGTCTGCAAGAAAAAAAGAAAAGTCAGAGGCATCTAAATTCCTTTTTATCGATTATTATATTTGAACAAAGGAGACCTGATAGCTTGCTGGACTACACTAGACTTCACAATATTTGTTCATTTCTTTATTTATTCAGGTTTTGGAGTAAATGTTGAGTGTATAATATGTCACGAGACCACAAATCAAAGAAATCATCATCACTAGAGCCCAGGGAAACAGTTTCACAATGAGTATTAAAAGCGCACCCAACATTTAAGCATACATTGATATAAAAAAGAGAAAACCTTCAGGAATAGTTCACTTTAAACATCAAATTACATGTTTTTCTCTGCCCTGTAGTGACTTTCATCTTTCTAGATCATGTTAGTGCATGTTGTCCAGTTTTAAAGATAATGTTTGTAGAGGTTTCCCTTGCCCACATGACTCACCTACCGCAGGGCTATGCAGAAGAAAGCATCTATCCACCTGTGACAATGCTTGTAACAGGATGCTAACATTAATGACACGTATGCTTGGGTACGCTGAAGGCCACCAGATGGCGATAGCTCTGGATGCAAAAAGACCTGGGCTCCTATATAAGACTATGGGAAAACACCTTTCAGTCTTGACCTCAGTCAATGCTTTCCTGCTAATTTTATGGGCTCAAACATTAAGTCTGTTTGAACTTGATTTGTTGAAGTAGAGCAATTAATTCTTAATGCTTAATTCTTTCTCTGTGACGGTTTAATCGCAGCAATGTTTGGTGACATTTGGGATTTAAAATCACTATAAAATCACTTCCTTAAGCACTTGTGGAGTTGGTTTATGTCCGTTTGAATTGTGGTCTTGATGTAAAACTCACAGAGATAGCATGCAGATGTATTTAAGGAGGAAAAGTACCTTGCTCCCCAGGCAAAAGGCATCCTGTACTGGCCTAACCGGTTGCATGCCAGCTTGGCGTTTTTCAGGACCTTCTGTGCCACCTGGTGCAAAACAGAAACACGCTTGAGCTTCGACACAAACACGCACAAGCTGGACCTCGTCTCTTACAGTAACTGTAACAATATTCAGCAAGCTGCCAATCTCAGCCAGAGTATGCACACATTTGAGAAAACAAACACACGCACACAGTCCTTCGACCAACATGCTGGACTGAATCACATTACTACCCACTGTTCTGCCCTCGGGGTGTGCACCTACTTTGTAGAGCCAAAGTCAATGCTTTTGTTGAGTTTCTGCGCAACTGGTCAGCGATTGCAAACTGGGAAGATTATCTTTGCATAATGTGGAATAATTTGGTGGAATCTGCTGATTCTAGAGGAACACGGGGTCAGTACCTTGGTGGAGTCTGAACTCTTCATGTATGGCTCGGCACAGTGGTTGATACCCCCCTGAAGCACCTTCTCTATGCGGGCCACCAGGAAGATATCTGGGTGTGGGCATGTTACCGAAAACACTCCCTATGAATCGAAATGTTAGAACAGATTTGAATATGTATTGGTAGATTTCCCCAGTGCAGTCATTAAGATGAAGAAAAACAAGAATCAGTGTTTTTCAAGTATTTATTTACCTGTCTGGGATACTGCATGGCTGCTTCTGGCATCCCGTGGATCAACCGCTGGCTGTCGGGTCGGCCATCGCCTCCCCCGTTCATATACTGACTGCTGTTATTGGGCATCATGCCCCTGACAGAGGGGTGGTTTAGGTCAACGTGGAAATCAGAGGAGATTTTTCTGCCATTCTGGATGTCAAACAGCGACAGGGTGATGTAGAATGGCTCCACCTGGAGAAAGAGCACAGTGTCAATTTATTAGAACGAGTCTGATAGTCCTGCCAATCAGACTAAAGTACTATGCACATGTGTTAGGTATGCTGTGATGTCTTTGGGCTGCTATGATGGCTCCTTTCATCTTGTACTACACTAAGATATCAAAGTATGACTTGGATAAAAGATACTTTAAAGGATAAAGTATGATGTTGATAAAAAAAAGCAGTGTATTTGTCCTTTAATGTGCCTACAGGCCACATAAAATGCTCCCAAGAGCCACAGCTAACAATAACTAATTTTACTGAACTTAATGTGATGTGCACTGGTGTAGTGTAGATAAAAATAAAGAGTATTAAATAATAAAAGCATAAATATAACTAATTACATTGTAGTATTTCAGTGGATCCAGTGTCACGTGACTTTACAGTACATATAAATATATTTGACCACTGGCATCAGAGAAAAAGCTGGACTGATGGACACGTGTCTCACGGACAGCTAACAGCTATTGCTGTAAAATTTCAGTGGAGGGAGCTGCGTGAACGCACTTCGAAGCATTTGCTCTGCGTGCGCGTGGACCATGTTGAAGTTTTAATAGACAGTTTCTGCTGGGAGGGACAGCAGGACAGCAGACTTCATTATGCAAATTGTTTGCCATTTCTGAGCCTGGAGGCTGGTTGCTATGCCAACGGGAGTCGTTCACCAGCTCAAATAATAAGACAAGTCCATCCGGCCTGCTGTAACAAACCCATCTCATCCATCCTTAGTCAGGCAGATAATGATATTTCTGTTATTTAAGGCCTGATGCGGAAAGAAAAAGAAAAAGAGATCCAGCTTACGTTTGTTGTTGGCCCTTCCTCGTTCTCAGCCACGCAGCTTTGCAAATTAAACGAGAGGTCGTTGCAGTTCACCAGCACACGCTTGCCAAACTTCTCCTCAAACTGCTTCACGTCTGGCTCTATTCCTGAGAAATCGAGTTTCTAAAGATAGTTCAAAAGACGGTATGGCATTAAACTGGGTCGGGTGTTATCACCAAATGGGACAAAGTGAACATTAGTGCGCCTTAATTTACCTGTGTGTCCGGATCCAGCGTGAACAGCTTCAGCCTGGTTTCATTCTTCATCCTAGACTCTATATCTCTTGTGCTCTGCGGAGAAGGAAAGCATTTCCTAAACTGAACCGCAAACTGTCTGAAACAGTGGAAGCGCTGGCCGGGAGATTCACGGCGAGTTGTTTTTTTTATTAGTAGAACATTTGTCATTCGCACCGATCTGGAAGTCAGGCTCCATATTTTACAGGCCGATTGTGCTGTGCAGACGGGGGTGAGAGTCAGGTGGTACCAGCACACATTTCCCTGGAGCACACTCTATCCTGTCAAACTGTTTTCCACCCAACTGTTACCACCAGTTTCCATGCACATATGGCTTTACTATTACGTACCACTCATCACAATAACAGCAAGAAGAGCTTTTAAAAAAAACAAAACAAAAAAACCACCATAAATATCGGAAAAATATTTGCAGCCTGCAAGTCGTCAGACAGTTTCCCCGTTAAATACCAGAGAGGATTCTATCCTCAAAAATCATCAAAGCTCCTAATGCTTTTCTCCCTGCTGGGTCTCTTGGATTGGATATTGCTGACTGTATGCATTCTGTATATATTCTGGGCAAAACGCGCTCTTAAAGGAAAAATCATATTAGATATAATCCTGAGAAGGCCAATAGGAGGGAGGGGTCCAGTGATTCAAATGAATCACTGGGAAATTGGCTGTGTCACCCTCAACATTTAAATCTAAATTTAAGACGCATGTTTGTAGCAAGGATGGTTCCTTCTGTGCCTTCTTGCTCCTTCAGTGAGGACAGGAGATTGCATGCACATCCAACAGAGAAAGTAGGACCTACCTGAAAGCTGTCCATACTGCCAGAGGAGCTGTCTGACTTTCCAAGATCATCATCTGTCAGAAAATACAAGAAACAATGGGTGTGGGGAAAATATGTAAACCTTAAGAAAAACCACCTAGGGTTGTAAAACCTCTTTAATCACTCACTGACACGTGAAAGTTCGGTAAACAGTAATTCAGCTGTGCAGGAATCACCCGGGACTGAGATGGGGATACTGCAGGTCTCAGTGGCATATTTAAAAGAAAGCTTCCAGATCTTTTCAAGCGCAATAGCGCTTTTATTCTTTCCCCTCTCTCATGCACAGGATGATTAATACAAGCAGAGGAATTAGAAAGATTAGCGGAGTGTTTTATGCAGAGGCATTCAGCCTCTCTGCTTCACGGCTAAGCCTCCTGTGAGACAGGAGGTGAGTATTAAAAGCCTGGGTGGTCTGGTATCACATCTCCACATACTACATGCACACGGCCAGGGAAAAAAAAGTGAGATTAAGTGAGAAGGTCGCCCTTATTAATAACTGACTAAGCATGAAAATTCTCTTCATTAATCTGCACAATTTCACAAAACCTTTTCCCAGAATAAGGAAGCTATCTCGACAGGAATACCAACAAATAAAGACTCCCTTTCATGTGGAAGAATCCAGACAAACGCACACATACCATCGTGAATGTCTCCATTTCTCTTCTCCTGCATGGCGATTTCAAAGCTACTGTGCAAGATCTTATTGAGCGTGTTGATCCATTCCTCCATCTCCGCCTCGCTGTCTGCAGCCAGCAGGTAGGTGCTCTTATCCTGCATCTTAAGCTCGAAAGCAAACCTTCGAACCTTGTTGTTCTGCAGAGACGGCATGGTGGGGGATAAAAAGGAAGGAAAGAGTTGTAGACAGTGCAGATAAAAACTTATTGAACATTGCAAAACAAGCGTTCAATCATTAGTTATTATTAATCTCTGGCTCTCTTCCACAGTGTGTTTTGTGTCCTGTCTTCCTCGCCTCACCCCCATCTGTCGTAGCAGATGGCTCCCCCTCTTTGAGCCTCACTCTGCTGGAGGTATCTTCCTGTTAAATGGGAGTTTTTCCCTCCCACTGTCACCGAATGCTTGCTCATGAGGGGTCATTTGATTGTTGGGGTTTTCTCTGTATTATGATAGAGTCTCTACCATGTAACATAAACCACCTTGAGACTACTGTTGCGACTTTGAGCTATATAAATAAAAATGTATTAAACTGAATTTAAATTATAACGATAGAAAAATAAAAGACCTGTTATTACTGAATAGATTGGATCAGTGGAATCTCATACAGACAGACTGAGTTTAATTTTTCACTTTTAAACATCAAACATCCAGTAGTGAACATAGTGAACATGGCAGAAGGGATGTTTCACCCCCCTCTCTGAAGAGAACACGGCCCCATGAGGCAGTAGTTGCTCTTATTCCACCATCACCCTCACTTCATTGTAATCTACGGTTAAAACCTTCAAAAATAAAGACCTGGTATATATTTGAATATTGAGTCCAAGTTTGGTAAACATGTAAGCATCGAAACTCAAATTTAATTTAAATGCTGCAGTGAGCAAATGGAAGGAACGTGAGTTATGGAGGGACGAAGCATTTACATCTGGATAACAAAGCCCTTCTGCCAGTGATGACCTCAAAACAGCCACGAAGGCTGATGCCACTGCCTCATTTGGGCTTTCGTGTTATTCTATTAAAGCCCATTCAGAACCAATGAGGGCTGACTGAGCTGCAGTTTGTCTATGACTCAGTGACTCTGAGGTCTGATGCTTATTAGGGTACTTTAATAAACGACTCCAGAAGAATTTGTTTTAGAGAAATAGAGGAGCCATTTTATTATTGTCAACAGTCACTGGATTGTGTTATGGTGGTTATCTCTGCAGCTTTCCTGCAATGTAGTGGGAGTGACTGGGAGGGAGAGACAATATCTGCAGACTAGCTGAGTAAACACAGAGAGGGGTGTTTGGGACAGAAATAAAACCAGAGTCCTGATAAAGAGACTTAACCAGTGTCATCACCTGAGGTCGGAGACTCAACTCAGGGAAACTGACTCGACGGTCCTTAAAATGATTCTGTATCCTTACTTTAAAGAGTAAGAAAGAAGAGAGCAGAAAGGAAAACTTTTGGAAAACTGAGTTATAGAACACTTAACATTTTTTAGCTGTTTGTTATTACAAAGAGAGTCCTGGTCAGTTGATATATGACAAATGCAGTGTGTGTTTGACTGTATGTTGGCGTCTTTACAAAGTGGAGGACCAGCTTGAGGCTCAGCTTGAAGCCTCTTTAGCATCTCTAAGCTGCAGCGTTAAAAACAACTGCAGTTATACTCATGGAGCAACTTCATCTGGGCCAGCTTAAATCATTAAACAAGGAAAAGCAGTTTAGCTTTAATATTCATTAAAGTGGACCTATTGTAGTCATTATTTCTGGTCATACTTGGCCTTGAAGCCCCTCAGTTCATCCAATGTGTGGGGAAAAAAAAACACCCTTTTAGCTCCTCTCTCTTTAAGTCTCCACTCACCTAAGCCAGTTTTCTTCTGATTGGCTAACACTCGCGAACGGAAGACCGCAAAATAACCGCAGTACTTAAATCACTCCCGTAAGACGCATAAGGAAAAAGGATCAAATTAAATGTTCTTTATCACTGATTTATAATCTGGTCCCATTATATCTCAGCTCTTGAGACCAGTTTGGAGTAGTCCACATCAACAACACTGAGTGTGTTGGATTTGTCGCTGAGCTTTTTAGTCACACAATGATTTTTAAAAAATAGTCTCAAATGGTTTTTCTTTTTAATTACTGAGATTCTCTGTTAAAAATGAGCTCAGAAAGCTGGCAGTGAAGCTGCTGGACTGAGCCAGGAGCTGCAATTATACGAGCAGGGGTCTTTGGTTGAAAACTGGGCGACGTGGAGGTTCAGCAAACCCGAGGAATGGCACAGCCGCTATAACCCACACACATCTTGAAGCATTCAAATATCCTGCACACTCCCTTCAGCTTACACTTGAGGTAACCCAGCCAGCTGGGTGCCTCAGAGGTAAAAAAAACAGGTTCTTTCCATCTGTTCACGCTGTAGATAGATGATAATGCATCCAGTGAGCGTTGGCCTACATTCAGCTGTTAGCACGTGGCATTGATTGTGAGGCTCGGGGAAAGTGCTTAGAATCGAGACCTCAGCATTCACCTTGTTTCAACAGCTGACAGTCAGCAGAAAAACACGACCTTGGGGTAGAGCGAGCTCAGGTTTCATAGAAGTGGAGAAGAGAAGCTCTCACGGGCTCACTTTTCAGCAGCAGCGCATCACTGTTAGAATAATTTCAGTTCAAATTTTGCCTGTTACAGATAGTGATTCATCCCGAATGCTGAGAAATAAATTTATACAGAAAACAACTGGAAAGAGGAAATCGTTATAATACCGGTTCATTCTGGGGAAACTGCGTTTTCCCCCAGGGGCCACACTACCACATGTGCAGACAGGGATATCCCGTTTGGCAAAGCATGCAGGTCATCTTGGGTCAATGAGGTTTAGCAATCACTGCCTTAATGTACCTGAATCACACCCATACAGGAGTCCAAGAAAATAGTTCCTTTGGGCTCTTTGGAGATCTTCTCATCCTTGTAGAAGTTTAAGTTATAAGAACCATCTCCAAGTTGAGTCAGGTGGAAATATCTCCTCTTGAATGACTGAAAAAGAAGAAAGACAGGAAATAAGAATTATTTGTATTTGCAAAAAGATAACTAAAACAGGTTAAACTGAACAGCGAGTGATCATATGAAGGGGAAAAAACATGGAATAGTAAAATGAGGAGAACTTTCCAAAATGTGAAATAAACAACAAAGATGGCGTCATGTGCTCATTTGGTTCAAAACATTTTGGGTGCCATGATATAAAACAAAGAAAAGAAACAGACCCCAACATTTGAAAAACTGGAACTAGTAAATGTTAAAAAATTTGCACAAAATCGATTACTTGGGTTGAAAAAAATAAAAATAAATCATACAGTCAATTAATGTGGTCTTTATTGCCACCTTACCCTCATGGTGACACTGATAGCACTGTTCATGTTTCCTTTATACAGCCAGCCCTGTTTAGTGATTCCACCTTTCTGGGAGCCTAAGGAGGCTGTGTCCTGCAGGAGACAAGGACACAAGATCAGACAATTACATAACACCAAAAGGATAATGCATACATCTTAACCAGCCATATAGATTTAAAATCTAGTCGTCTTCATAGCATATGCACAAATGTGCCAATTCAGGAATTAAATCATTTCACTTTTCTTTTTGTGTGTGTGGTTGAAACAAGCTGCAGTAAATAAACATGGAGACAACGTGCTCCAAACACACACACACACATCATGTATACATTTCAAAACAATGTCTGATTTTATCTAAAGAAAAGTTTGTGCGACTTTATTTGGACATTTTTGCGGTGAAGCGGCATACAATAATATGTCACCAATTGCCCCACTCTGCCAAAGCTCTGTCTTGCTGTGCAGAAAGTCTTTGATCTTGTGGTCTGAGATGACACAGATCCCGGCACTATGTAGGACTTTCTCAGTCCAAACAACCAAGACAGAAGAACATAAAACAAACTATGACTGTTAAACTAAATAAATATATCTCAGCTTTCATAGCAGATCTGTGACACATGGGCCCAGTCATCTCAAACGTTCACGGAGGTTTGTATGAGATCACGCCTTTCACACAAACACCGCTCTTGTGATCTGTAAAAATAAACTAATTAGGGGAATAATGATGAAAGAGGAGATACGGCGGTCAAACTCTATAGTTTGGTCCAGGTTTATATCAGCCTTACATATCATTTGCAGATACACTTTCCAAATTTGAAAGAGTACAATGAGAAGAGCGAATGGGCTTTCAAGATGTTATCATTTGAGTCCGGCTTCTTCTCTCAGCCCAATAAAGCAAAAAGGATTTGCTTTATTGGGCGTTGGCAGGAATTATAATATTTTCAGTGTGGAAGTTTGTGAAGTGAGCTGAAAAGCACCTGGAAAGGTTCAGAGTCCCATTTCCACTAGTCAGTGTCTAGACAACATTTGCAGGTCTGCAGAGAAGCAGAAAAGTCTCTGAGTTTAGGATCTCAGAACTCTCTTTGCCTGAGAAAACTTTGTCAAGGACATGATTAAAAAAAAAAACCCAACTCAAAAGGCCACACTAAAAATCTACAGTCAGACAAAGTGCAGATAAACCACATTACACAGCTGATAGTGAATGCGGTCTCAATGTACGGTTAGAACAGGCACGAAGATTTCTTTCGGGAAATTTACAGGAAGGCTTTATATCCTTTTCTCTCATCTACACGAGGAAATTCCCCATTTAAAAATATTCTGTAGTGTGGGTCGTGAAGGATGAGCCTTTCTATTGTGTTGAAGTCTTTCCAATCCTCCTTTCCCAGATTTTACTCTCTGGGGACTTGCACTTCTTTCAATCAAAGCTCCTTTTATTTAAAAGGGAAAATACATTGTGCAGCGCTGAGTTCTAGAAATCTTTCTAAAGATCATGTATTATATTTCAGCTCCTATACTCTCTTGCCTATAGGAGGCACAGTTTGACATATTGTGCAACAAGGGCAGGTCAGGATCTTCATCATACATCCTATGAAGCGGTGTGACCTTAACAATTGTATCTGTAACAGCTCCGCATTATCTTTAAGGCTTTGAAGACTCCCAACAAATCTGAGTGTCTGTCAGGTGACTTATGAGCCTCCTTGTTGTGAATTCCTCCCAGTCATTCCAAAGACAACAAGCACTTGTTTAATCTGTACAAGACTGCACACCCACTCTGTCATACATGAATTAGCAGAGGATAAAAAGGTCCAAATGTTGCACTGGAGCCCTTAAATTTCAATGTGAAACAAAATACATGGTGCACGTGCAACGCTGTAATTACTGTTAACTCACCTATTAGACACAAAAATGCCTTTTATCGCCGTACAATAAAAACATGAAAGGCGTAAGTGGGGATAAGTGAAATTTAACAGTGCACAACATTTTTGAGGGTGAGGTTCGTGTCATCAAGAGGAATCAAGAAACTCAACTGTGCGAAAAACTAAAAACTAACATGAACTCTTATTTACAGGAACAGTTCACACCCAAATTAAACGCTGGGATTTCACCCCCTCTCTCTGGCACGCAGTGCCATTTATCCATCTAGTTTTTTTCCCCTGTCAGTTGCCAAGTTTCACAAGGAATTGAAGGACTATGTTAAATATAATAGAACTAAATGACAACTAAACTAAGCTTTTTCAAAATCACGATCCAGTTAATCAAAAAGTCCACAAACTTTGTTAAAAGTTCCTGAGCTATTTTATCTCTTTTTATTGCAACCTTGTTACTGTGCAGGAGGAAACCTGAATCTATCAACAGACTTTCACTAGTGGCATTACAAACATTAATGGAGCTCTGTTCTGCACATTGACACACTGGATGTAATTTGGTATCAAACACACGTTTTATTTTTTCATTTTTTTTTTTAAAGGTACCTTGCTAGTACTGGGTTCGATCCTCTGTTACCTTCAGAGTTGCCTTAATTCTTCATGGGATAGATTCAATAATGTTCCCTGAGAACTAGTCCATGTTTACATGATAGCATCACATAGTTACTGGATGCACATCCATGATGCTCTGTTGGATTGTGATCGTTTGACTGCGGAGGCCGTTTGAATACAGTCAACTCGTTGTCATCTTCAAGAAACTAGTTTGAGAAGATTTGAGCTTTGTGTCACGCTGGAAGCGGCCATCAGAACATGGATACTACGTGTTCTATGTGGCAAAATGGATCCATGCTTTCATGTTTCAAATTCTGATCCCACCTTCCAAACGTTGCAGCAGAAACTGAGACCACTCTCCTGTGACCCACAGAATTTCTGCACACTGAATATTTTCTTTTTTCTGACCATTCTCTTAAAAATCCCAGCATATCAGCATTTTCTGAAATATTCTGAAAACTGAATTTCTGTCTGGTACCAAAAACTATGCCACCTTCAAACTCACTTAAGTCACCTTTCTGCTCTTATTCCAAAGCTTGGATTAAACTTCAATAAGTCATTTGGAGCATCTTTACATTCCTAAATGGTCATGTGATGTCATACGATTGGCTGAATAGATATCTGCATTAATGAGCAATTGAACAGGTGTATCTAATAAAGTGGCTAAAACTCCTCATAACAATGTTTGTGCATTATTTATGAATAAAAGAAAAAAACATCCATTCATAAATGTTTCTAAGTTTTAAGTGCTGTTTTGGTCTTTTGATGGTTAAATAAGCACAATCAGGGAGAGGTCAAATATACACATTTGATTTTTTCACTTTGAAAGTGTCCCTAAGTTACAGTACGTGAAACTTTAGGCACCCTAGAAACTAAAAATAAGCAATGGGTGTTTCTTCACACCGTCCATATCTTCTGACAAAGAACTCACCTCATCTTTGTCGACATCTTCATCCACTTCAAATACATGGACAGCCAATTTATCAGGCCTGGACACTTTACTGGAAAAACCCAAATACAGTGTAAGTATAATAGCTCAAGGGGAGATATGTCAAGTGAATCTATTCATCACAACAACAAAAGCCTGCAGGTTTTTCATACACACACAGAGCACTATAGACAGCTTACGATGGCTCTTTCATGGCTTTGCTAATCTATCCAGCATGTGTGACTGAAGCGGTTTGGTGAGATCATTCAAATTTTTTTCTTCCCTATTTTTTATAATAAGTCATTTTACATTTTGAGGCTTTCTCAAGAGGAGCACAAACGACTTTTCGGCTCCTCGTGGAAACACAACGCACACACAGCTTGCTGGAAAATGAGCAGGTGCCAAAAGGTGAGAATCACCATCTAAAAATACTGTTAATTTTTTAAACTGGCGACCGACGTCACGATGCATTGTTTCAACTTCCCCAGATTCAGTAAAGTGACAGAACATTTGGCAGCAGTTGTACCAACAAGGTCACTGTCAGCTCATTTTCTAACACGCTGGTTATAAAATAAGGATTCTTTACGGGAGAAGCTGGAGGTGATGACACAATCTCTAAACAATGAGGGTGGTTTCCACACTGGTTGCGTTCAGAAATTGCTCAATGCACTAGGAAAAGGAAACAGTCTTTTAAATGTGTGCAACAGTTATTTGTATGCTGTGTTTCCTTCTAATTAAGTCACGCAAGTTGTCAGACACAGAAAACTGAATAGGCGACAGCTTGCGTGTGTGATCGGGCTAAAACAAACAAAACTGTGTGACTGCAGGATTTAGCTTTAAACCAGCTGTATAGCATAGCAGTTCTTCTTAACCCCTCATAACAATGTGACGGCACCTCTATAACCACACTGTAGTGCTGAGTCGAGGATTTTTTAACTATAGACTTACTTTGGAAGCTGTCGGAAGTCCCCTGAATAGTCCTCATACTTGTAGTTGACCACATGCCAGTCTGACTTGTAGGTCTTAATGCACTGAGGAGACAACAGAAATTAATTACAGACCACTGTAGCACTGCATTGACACAGTGAGGTAGCAATTCAGGGCTATGTGAAGGCTGGAACTGGGTGTCATTGAGTCCCCTCTAAATGTGTTTCCATTTTCTCATCTCAACATGCTACATGAAGTTAATATACCACTAGGATCATCACTTTGATAAAGCTGAAGAAACTGTCGAACCATCTGATGAGAATTTGAGGCTTAGGATGTGAGTCCGTTTAGTCCGAATTGCTGGTGAGATGGTTAACAGATTTAGAAAGCCCTGCTCTTACTTAGTTCAGTGCTGCACGATTTCAGTAGCTTAGTGACAAATAGATGCTTCACAAAGATGTTTGACAGTGTCTTCTTTTCAAAAAGTCTTTCATAAGTTCCAGTAGACAACTCACTAACATACACATTAGGACAATATTTAATATTTTCAACCATTAAAGCTTCTCCTTGAGATAAAAAAGGAGGAGTGTATGCACGGTGACTCTGCCACAATCCAACGTCCACCAACACAAATTGGGAGTGTTTCGCTGTCCTCCTTTCCTTGGATAGAAAACATCTGTTCATTGTTAGAGTCAGTCACAAGTGCAGCTCCCTGGTATCTGTTCTACAGAAACTCACGCCATTTACAAGAACTGCTCCTGCAGGGAGATGAAATGCAACCTGATCAGGAGGTGAATCGGAAACGGAGAGGCTCTCGCTGGGCTAATCTCCACAGCTGTCCTGGTGATGTCACACAGCGCTTAACCAGGTGTCAGTATCTTGACTTCAGACAAGGCGCTCTAAATGCTGACCTTTGACCCGGAGGGAGAACTGTCGGTTTTCAGCTGGTGTGTGGCTTAAAAAGCTCTGCTAGAGCTGGATGATTATGATTCATCGTTTTAATCAGCAGCAACTGTGAGTTACTGATAAGTATATTTTTAATTAATCCTGCACTACATCAATAAAATGTCACATCTGGTGAACTTCCTGTGATTTTATTTGCTTTTTGCCCTTTTGGACTTTCAAGATGCCACAGCTGACCAAAACCAGGCTGAACCACTCAACAGCAAGACATGATCAAGGCTCAGCACTGACAGTAATAACTAATGACAGGGAACAAACAGAAGCTTGATAAATTATCAAATTAGTCGAACTTAATTTCAGTGTATTGTACCATAAATAGATTTTACTGAGAAAAAAAGGGCACAAATAGTCCCGATGCTTCCAATGATGATCTATAACGAGGCTCCTTGATGACTTCCTGATGCGCTATGACTTGCAACATTCATAACTGCTAATATTAGGTAATATATTTGGTAATGAGCCAAATTAGCATTACTGTAGCATAGCTCTGTGGTTTATGACTGATATAATTGACCAAGTTCTTACTAGCCTGAAGCGCTGACGCCGTTTTCAAACGTCTATCATGAAAAAGATACATATACAATCATATTAAGTGTACTTACTTACTTTGTGCACAATAGAAACATTTGTTTTGCAAATGAACTTCGGTGTGCTTTACATGTCTTTTGGACCATTACTGTCAACAGGTATGAAAGCAGTCTCTCTCAATATAATATACTAGCATATATCCATGGTACAGTACTGTTTTTACTCTGTTTGTTAATGGTTGAAAAGCTTCATAATCTGTTATCATAATATGTGAGACATAATTCAAGTTTTGTGGATATAAACGGGTCATTTTAGTCTTTTTTCAGGTGGTTGCTAGTTAACATAATGATGTCATCATGTCTGATATAAAGAAGAGCCTTCAGGGGCCTGAGATGTCCTTGTGTGCCAATTTTGGTTGCTCAACTTTTGATTGTGTAAGAGTTTGGATGGAAACAGAAAGAGATTTCATGCATTATCATGTAAGATGATTTAATTGGCTCTACTTGGTCTTAGAGTCTATTCCACTATTAAATGTTGTCAGTGGTTCAGTTTTTTGGGATTATTACCCCCAATTATTTCCAATATTTGGATTCAATCATTTCACTGTGTCTTCCTGCAGGCTCTCTGTGAGTGAAAGTCCTTCAAAAAATATCTTAAAAATCAGCCCACCTCTTGGACGAACAGACTCTGGGCCTCCCTCTCTGCATTTTCAGGCACTGTGGGGTACAGGGTTCTCCCTTGCCTCCTCAAAGTTGAAATCTGCGAAAACAAAGCAAATGTTGAAATCGTCAGAAGAAATGTAACTGTGGGATTACAGCAGACCACAAAGGATGACCAAAACTGAAACTGAAAAAAAGTGTGCTTTCACTTGAAATGGTCTTGTGAAATGACCACAGGTTATCTGGGGTTCAAAGCGTGCAAGTAAGTCAGAGACACAGTGGGATGCCTGCCCACGTCATCTGACTTTTAGGCCTACTGATGGATGTGTTTAAGCCTTTCGCTAATGACTAACAGGTTGACTCTGCAGACAGGCAACACAGTAGCAAAAATAATCAAGACCCTGTAGTGTAATTAAAGTAAAAAGCCTTTTAATTTTATTTAAGCAAGACCAACACAGCCGCTTTTATCGATCACTAAGGATGCAAATTCTAGTGCTCGACAAACATCAGCATGCCAAAACGCTCAAAACGACAGCGCCAACAGGTTGATTAATGTGACTTTCATGTCACTAGATCCTTGGCAGAGATGTAAAAATTATTTTAATAACCTGTGGAGATGTAATAAAGTAGTCAATCGACTATTGTGCGTAACAACTATGTAACTTTACATTAATTCACACTGATTAGAAAAAGCATTCTTTTTGTTTTTGCTCTTGCAAAGCATCGGTGGAGTTAATCCACAAAAGCTCATTCTGAGCCAGGAAAAAAACCTGCTTTAGAGCAAGCAGTGTTGGATATGACTGAGGTTTCCAAAAATGAGTTTCCCAGTTGTTATAAGAATCTGAAGCTGGAGTCCTGGGTATACAGTATTCACATTGGTTTACTGTATGATTTCTGTTCATCTGGACGTAGCGTCGTCCGCTACGTCCAGATGAACAGAATCAACTTCTGGAGATTTACTTTCCTGGATGATTGAGAATGCGTCAAGATACTGTATGCTTTCTTTTTAGTAGCTTTATGGCCTTCAAAGAATATGCACCTCAAAGATCTGAAATCAGATTCACCTGATTTCATTAAAATGAAGCTACACAATGTGATAATAAGTCAAATGTGGTGTTTCGCAGTTACGGGATAAAAGAAGTTGTTTCACAAAAGCTTGTTTTTCTAGATATCTGGAATGACCCCAAGACAAATACTAAAACTGCTGTCTTTGCCTCCCCTGTTGCCCTCTATAAACTTGCATGTGGTGTTAGATCAAGTCCTTACTGTGTTAATGTCAATAAATTCCCCAGCTCTTAATTGTGAACCTTAAGTCTCCCTTTTCCTGTCTGCTACCCATGTTTCCTGCAGGGGAGATAATGATCTTTGCACTGAAAGCAGCAGAAATAAACAGGCATGGACGCCAGAGGCAACCAGGAAGTGGGCAAAAAGAAGCATTTAATTGGACTACAAGTTGCCACAGAGAATTATCAGATCCTCTGGTTTAAAATTCCCCAAATTGTTATGGGAGATGGACAAGTTCAATAAGACCCCATCAATATTTTATCTAAACTATCAATCTTCTTTATCCAAGCTGAGCTGGAGACAAGAACTTGACCACTTCCCAACAGCTCCGACAGACTGAAAAACAAGCAAAGCAGTGCTTTGAGCTTGTGCAAATATGTGCTTGCCTTCATGTACGCCAGGTAAAATATTTACTTAGCAAGCTGATGAACTGTACTTAACTAACACTCACTAGTAGTAAATACTAAATTATGCCAATGCTGACAGTTATGTCATTAGTTATGCAAATATTTGGTATAGACTGCGTATAATGATTGATGGACAGCAAGTCTGAAAAGTGACACCAGTCCAGTAAAGCCTTAAACCTGAATCTTTTCTAATGGCCAGTGGTAGCCAAACCTCCTTGTTGCTCAGTTTACTTGGATTTTATACCGGCCCATTGGAAAGAAGACCCTACCTCTCACTGGACTTTCATTCTGTTTAAAGTCCCCTTCAATACAACATGATGTTCATTAGATACATTTAGGAACAAATGCAACCTGTAGCTAAATTCCTCCACAGAAATGAGGAATTTGGCTGCAAATCCTCCACTCAGGATACTGTTCATTCTGTGGAATGGTTGACAGAGAATATCATATCGAACACTGGTGTTACCATAACCTTAGGTACACGGCAAAGTAAAGAAACAAGAACAATGCTCTGATCTGCAGATTTCACAGTGAAGGGGGGCCTTAGACAAAGTGCATATATCAAATTGAGGAGAAAGGAAGACTCCTATTCTGCTAATCTTGGACAAATTTCTCCAGGAACCTCACACAGAGAGAGACCAACCCAACCCTCCCTCCACTTTGCCAGCAGTATCTTGATCAAAAGCAGATGGAGCTGATATAAACATCGCCTACCAGAAGAACAGCTCATGACTTTTGATGAGCCAGAGGGAATAAGATAAGGTAGGGACTTGATAGAGGTTTCCAATACCGGGAAACAGACAAAAACTGTATTTATACAAAAATAACTCAGAGATAGAGGAGGTCTTTCTGCCTCGACTCATGACCTGTAGAAGTGTCTTTACGCAGACTGAGATTTCTACATAACACTCACTGGTCATACACTGACACAACTCCCCCAAAACACTGAAAGCTGATTACAACCTTGCCTGAACAAGAGTCTGAACAGGCAGAAACAGATGTTAAGATCAGTCACTGAGCCTCCCGTGTTTTTTTTTTTTTTTTTTTTAACCCCCCCTCAGTCAGAATCACCTGTCAGCCCCTGACAACGTACTGTTTGTGTGTGAAGCTGGCGTGTTATGCTCATAGCAGCAGGCTAAACGTGGATATGCATGAGAAGTCAGAGTCAAGGCTGTCCTGCTGTCACCAAGCACCCAGCTGCCAGGCCTTACAAACCGTAACAACCGCTTCTCTATCCAGAGTCAATTCCAAAGTTAGAAACACCAAGCAGACCTGGTGCTTTCATTTATATTCTAATCATTAAAACTGTGGCTATACACACCAGTGACAAGGAATTATTTAAAGGTTATTTTTCCCAGATAGACCCAAGTCCCCATTAACATCCAAACAGCAACTTTGGCAGGTTTGTGGGAAGACTGATCTCACATGCGAAGATCAACCCATGTAACTTAAATCAAGTTCTGTTTGAGCATTTGAAAAAACGGATTATTTCTAAAAGTGTTCATGTATGGTTGCAATGATTCTCCAAATCCACAGGTTGGGTCATAACTAAATCTTTAGCCAATGACTTTTAACTATTTTAATAGTGATTAGTAAGAAGTTTATGACAGCATGATGACGTAACCATGACTGGATCATCACCTAAAAATAAAAATTTGTTATTCTGATGTATTTCCAGTTCACTCTTCATTTAAGCAATCATGTTAAGCAGGGCATTCATTACATCACACAAAACACTATGAAGCCATCACTAAAATACCATTAATCATCCTGTATTTGCAATCTTGCTTAAAAAAAAGAAATACATCAAAACAAAACATGCTATTCATAAAGACTCAAGTTAAAATGTATTTCACCACAAAGCTCAGTAAAGAAACCTTTAAGATCCCTGCAGTTGGCAATTACACATCATTTACAGAGAATGCATCCTTGCTTTGACAAAAAATACATTAAAAATAAAAATAATTCTGAGCATGTATTGGTGTTAAAAAGCCGTACTCATTATGCTAATGACTTGAAATGTCACAGTCATTTGGGGCATTTTGCACCAACATCTGAAGGAAGAAAGAGCCATTAAAGGCTGAAGGGATTTATAGATGCACTAAAAACTGACTATGGGAGGCTTATGTTTCACAGTGAAGGTGGCAAAGAGCTGGGCATCAAACATTTTGCCCTCAAATTTTGTGATTTCGCCCATGTCTTATGTAAGGACTCATGATTCGATTAAGATTTGGTGGAGCAGAGAAAATCTCCATCCAACTGTCAGGAAACTCCTAAGTGACCAGGAGTTCAGCACTCACACTTGGTACACAGTATACCTACTACATCTCTGCCCATTAGCTTTTATTTATTATGGATATTATGAATTAACATGTTGCCTAGCAACCATCTACTAGACGTTTGCAGACTGAGTGTCATGAGCCGGTCCGTTTCATGCAACACGTGGACAGCAATGCAGGCGAATAGTCACGCTCACATTCACAGCCAAATGCTAACACATTTCTTCCACTAATATGTCACTAGCTTGGAAAGATTTCACTGTGATTTGAAGCACAAAGTTCACCAAAGTAAACAGTGGTTGAATGGACACTGGAATGTCTGGACAACAAACCCTGTCGAATTAACAACACTTAACCCAACTGAACGTGGATATTAAAAGGAATCCAAACAAAGAAAAGTGGACAAATCTAAAACTCTACAGTGTTCAGAGCTAGCCATCAGCAGCCTCTGTATCAGCAAAGGACAAAAGCAGTTACAAGTACGGGGACAAGTGAAAAAGAAAAAAAGGGATGATGTCCTCTTATCTGCTAAACAAACAAACAAACAAACAAAAAAGCAAGGTACCGGCCAATTAAACTGCAATCCTAGTAACTCGAGCTAAAATGGGCCATTTTTACCATTTATGCACTAATAACAACTTAGAAAAGTGTTGTATAATTTTCATTACATTACTACCTAATTCATATCCACATTCAATTCAATTTAAACAGCACCAAATCACAGCAACAGTTACCTCAAGGTGCTTTATATCGTAAGGTAGACCCAACAGTAATGCATACATAGAAACACCCAACAATCGTATGACCCCCAATGAGCAAGCACTTTGGCGACAGTAGGAAGGAAGAACTCTCTTTTAACAGGAAGAAACCTCCGGCCGAACCAGGCTCAGGGAGGGGCGGCCCTCTGCCCCCTTTTCCCAGTCAGTCACAAGACAACCTGGGACTGAGATACAACAACAACAACAAACTTTATTTATATAGCACATTTAAAAAGCAGTGGTGTACCAAAGTGCTTAACATGCTAGAGGGTAAGATGAAGTAACAGGAAAGGATGAGGGTTATGGCAAGGTACCAAAACGTGCTAACAGGTTGAATGGCATTAAAACACACGAAGGCAAAAGAATTGCATATAAAAGCATAAAAGAAGGATAAGTGTAGAGGATAAAACAGTCAAAAAATAAATAAATAAATAAATAAATAAAACTGAAATTGAACAAAACTGAGTTTATACCACTGATGTGTCCCTGCACAACAATCCCAGTTAGTTTATTGTGTGGCCCGTTATCTGGCAACCACCTAACAACAGACTAAAATGACATTTACAGTGAAGAAGACCCACAAAAATGCCCCAGTTTTTATACTCTTAAAGGGATTGGACAATGGATGGTATAATTCTTATATTTACTCATATAAACAAGAACTACCATATTTTTCTTTACTTTTCTCAGTGTGATTAACTATATCAGTTTGCCAACAGCATGAACAGACCCAGTAATACTGTAGCATAGGTGTGTACTGGTATCAGAAACACATGAAATGTTTCTGATACCAGCATGTATCAGAAACATGTATCAGCACGTTTGTCTTTTATTCTCACTGCATCAATTCGGTGGTATAGTGTTGATAATAAAGGACCAACTCCACTAGCATAAAATTAGAGCCAATTCCTGATGTAATGCCAAAACATTCCAAAATTTTCCAGGTGAAACTTGTACTTTGCAGTTCCCGTTACAGGAGAGGATGTTGACACAAATAGATTTCTGACTGTAACTCTTTGGATCAGAGCAATCTGAATGACCCGTACATCCTGAGGAATACACATACCATTTACAACTCCAATAAATAATAACTGTATTCTTCAACCAATGTGGGAATTCAGACAAAAGATGTTAAAGTCATTAGACAAACCCAAAAAAAGACTTCCCTTACTGGAATGGTGTTATATTAAAGGCCCAGACTCTATAAAGCTTTGACAGCAATGTGAGACAAAGTGGTAGGGTTAGATCTGAGGATATACTAACATCCTTCAAAGAAGTCTCATTTCCTGAAGTACCAGCTCTGGGCCAGATCTCCATTTTCGATTTTCCAGCTGCAGCGTGGAAAGTGTGAGGGACGCACATCCTGCACGGTGTGGCTGGAGATAACACTTACTCTGTCACAACATGGGACACAGAATGAGCCAATTAAACAGATGGCCCCTGACCCATCTCTTGCTGCAGCAGAGGAGGATATAAACAAAAGGAAAGCCTTTGTCAGTGGCTACACCCATCATCACAATGGCCGCGCCTGGGCCAAAGGAAAAACCACTTCAAACAAACACAAAAAAGAAAACACGCAAGTGGACGAGTAAATATTAATATTGTATAGATACCAGTAAATGTAACGAGCTCGTGTGTTTAGCAGCAATACACAGGAGGACAGTTTAACTCCTGTCTGCCTGACTTTGCACCAGAAGTGTATAGCAACAACGGAAACCAGAGCACTAAAGATGCACACCACCATTTGCTGTGGAACATTTTTCCATAGCTTCATAGCTGCTTCCCAGCAATTTAACCCCAGAGCCACATTTACTACAGCAAGACTCACCATCTATACTTCTGCAAACATAGATGGCGAGTCTGCTGAAAAATGTGCATGAAAAGTTTAGACACTCACCTCAAAGTCCTCAAGGGGGAACTGCAGCATGTCTCTGAGGACATCGCTAAGGATCTGCGTCTTCCTCTGCACCAGCACATTTTCATAATCGAGCGGCTCGATCACCTTTGGTTTTACCTACAAAACACATAAACACACAGTTGGGGATTAAACTACAAAACTAAAGCAAGTAACATGAAGGCACAGAAGAAGCTATCTGTGACGTTATTGGATGGATTCAGAAGAGAGATCAAGGAAACGAGTAACAATATGCAAACAATCAGGCATAATAAGATTACTGTTGGCATGCCAACCCCTCAGCATTGGAGAGTAAAAACCCATTAGCTCCTTTCAGTTTTCAGACCTTCAATACTTTCTCATCAACTAAATGAAACTTGACGACAGGCATAAATTGGTTTCAAAGGACATATCAATTTATTATTGCGTTTGTAGAGATCAGATATAGGAGCAAACTTCTGAATAAAAACTGCCCATTTTTAGCACAGAATATTTAAAAAAAAAAGATGTGCATTCGGTGCGAGCAAAGAAAAGACTTTCAAACAAAGGCAGTTTGGTGTGTGGTTAACCTATGTGATGATGCTTACACTTACATAGTGGGGGATCTTGATGAATAAGCAACAAAATAAAAAACAAAGCTGGTAAACCATAACTAACAGGAATGCACTTTAAATAAGCATGTGCAGGAGAAGAGATCACAGTCAACAGACTTGGATTTATCCAGCCGTGTGACAGGGCACAATAGGACATGTTTTCTGTTAGATGCACAGTGACAAGTCAATCAGGGCTCCATCTGCCCAGAGAAAGTGCATCTGCTTCACGGATAAGGAGGGTCTCAATGAGCTCAACTCTTTACGATGGCACACATCATACTACACTCCATCTGGACAACATACAGGACATTGTCATTTTTGTCTACGACATAAAGCAATGAAGGCAAGCTGTCAACGCTTTTATCTGTTGGGATGGGAGGATAAATCCAACAACGAGCAAAGTGAAAAACAAGCAGTGACAGATCAGCAGACTTCAGGGCTGAGCGACAGCACTGCTCACTCATTCCTCCCACATCTGGGACTGATAATGTTAGCATGATCTCAGATGGGGGAGTCATGCATGTAGACCTGCCTGAATCTATGCTGCTATGTAGTAACCTTTGTTAGTAACAGAGTAGAGCGAGGACAGAGGGGGCAGGACCTTGTATCAGTTTCAAGGACAGGGAGGGAATAGGAGAGCAGAGATGGTGCCACCATGTCTGTCAGCTGAAGCAGGTTGTGACATACCAGACAACTTCTTCTCCACGTTTTATTTAAACACAAATATACAATTATCTGTAGTTGAACTTTAATAAACTGTGCTCCCCTTAGAACAGAAAAAAATTGATGGATGGAGAGATTTCTAGATGTAAGCCAGGAAAGAATTTATGGAAAGATAAGATAAATACGTGTATGTCTTACTTAATTCGACGCCTAAAATCTCCATATCTCCACAAACAATCTGAGAGCCTCTAGAAGATGAAGTCTTAGGAATGTCAGGCAAACACACCTATACTATCATTATTAAGCAATGACCTGGGGAAAAAAAACCCCAAAACACAATGAATCAGGTTTGACTAAACCAAACACCTGCAATGGATACTCTGGAGCAGAGGGGCCATTCTACTTTATAGGCAACAAATGGCCTGATCTGATCTTACATGAGTAAAATCAATATACAATAAGCTATTTAATAGCAAAACAAACTAAAATTTCCCCTTTTTTTTAAGTGAAAATGGAACATAAGCACATTCTGACAGTGTTTATATATGATGAGCAATCTTAGAAAACAAATGATGAGCAGGCAAGAGACGTAAATCCAGTTTTAACAGTGTGATCATGGTAAAAAAGAAAAAAAGAAGTATAACCTCTTTCAAGTCTGAGGTTTTACCACGTCACCATGTTAGTCTTTGTTTTTGGTTTTTGCTAAATACAGCCAAACCTTGTGACAAACTAAAGATACCCTTAGTGCTTCAACATGAAATAACAAGGTCAGTAGCAGCCAGGTGCTGCTGCTCAAATGCACTCCATTGTCAGCAAGTGAGAGCACCTCTATAAAAGCAGACGTTTGGGCAGTTTGCTGATTTGAAGCATTTCGATGTGTTAACACAAGGAAAAAAATCAAGGTGTTCCAGTCAAAGTCCAGACCTCAAGCCAAATAAAATGCTGGCTGTACCTTAAGCAAGCTGTGCGAAAACAAATACCTGTAGACCACAATGTATTGAAGCAATGCTGTGGAGAAATATTTTTCAATTTCCATGTGCCACTCCTATCACAGTGATGTCATCAACACACCAGGACTGTTTGTCAGGGAAGTTCTGCCATAAGTTTGAGACTTTTGGAATGGAGGGTTTAAGCTAGTACAGAAAAAGTGAACAAGTGAGCAATCTGAGGCTGAAAGATGCCAAAAACAAACCAAATATATACTAGAAATAACCTAATGAAGCCTCTGCTGTATGGTCAAAACCAAGCTAGTAAAGATGTGGTAGTAACTACATTTAAATAAAGTATGTGCTGAAAGATTTGACCCCGTTTTAGTGATGGTGCCCCTTTTCTCACCAGTAATGGATATCTGAACCCACTCAAGTGCTGCTGATTCCCTCCAAACTCCTCTGGGTGCCTCCACATTGCTTTGTCAGTGACCCAAAGTGGTCAACCACACAGTGCACTCAGCACTGAGCGCAAAAGCTCTGTCATTCTCTCAACCCACAGTGCTGACCAGAGTCGATACATAGCCCCAAATTTACACTTATTGTCAAATTAGTCCTTTAAGAAGGTATTTGAAATCACCTGTTGAACAAATGCCTTCAAGACTAACGGTAACGTTTCACTGTCAATCAGAAAATACTGAAGCTCCAGTTATATTTCTTGGTTGTCTACACACCCAAGCAGAAACGTGCAGACTGTATATTCAACAGCTGTAAACTCAAGTCAGCAAACAGGCGAGCCAACCCTGTAAGAACAGAAAGCAGACGCCCATGAAGCCATCCCTTCCACTCCCTCTCTACAGCAATTGGGCAGCTGTTTATCTGCATCTCCCACTCCTCCACATCACTGCACCCTCACACAGCCTGAAACAATGGTGCTGCGTAGTGCCTCTCAGTCTAGTCACTGACTGTTTGGTTGACTCTGCAGAGGGCCTGACCACTGGACACCTTCGTTAAAGGGCAGGAAATGATCACTGTCGCGGTCGCTGACTTTTGCGCCAAATAAAACATTTTACGAGCCAAAGCAATCTTTGAGAATAAAGTCGAGGGACCTGCGATGTATTCGCCCAGGTAGTAAAGTGCTAATAAAGTTCAACCTTCCCCCGTGCTGGTGCTAACACTGCAAATTTGAAATGTGAGCTGGCAGCACTGTTTCTATGGAAGGAGGCGAGAGAGTGAACCAGCACAAACGCTCACATGACACCTGCTTTTGGCACTTTATGGCTGAGGTTAACCTTTACACGACTTACTTTCTCAAGGATCAGAGCAAATTTGACACGTCAGTACTGATTTTCTTTTTTCTTTTTAAATGTAAACCAAAAAGTCTCACATCTCTATGTGAATTACTTGAATGACTTACCACCACCTGTGGCACTGGATCTACCTCAGGCTCAGCTGCAACCAACCTCTTGTACTGCTGTGGACTCTCAATGACCAGCTCCTTTTTTGGAGTTTTACTAGCCCTTCCTTGCATTGTCAACACTTGTGGTAAGATATTTCCAAGACAGATCCCAAAGAGAAGTTGCAAGCCAGCATATCAGGTAGAGAAAAATCTTTGCACTGGAAAAAGTTTGTATATCTCCCTTTTCAGTCCCTAGCTCACTCCAAGCTACGGCTGCTCTGACTGAAAGCAGTGGACTCACACCCAGGCTGAAGAGATGGCCCCTCCTACACTCAGCTGTGCAGCCTGGGGGAGTTAAACACCCTCTCACCCACACACACATACAATGAAGCTATATGACCCCACACTATCCACCTGCACAGCAACAAAGGGTTAAGAAAAGAAAAGATACACATTCCTCAAGAATTACAGTGTGGTCAGGCACAATCCACGCCTTATGTGGGACAGCTGAAATAAGAGCTGGGTTCAAATTCATCAAAAGCCCAGAGTGAGTGACACAACAATGAGGCACTTTAGTGGCACATTAATAATAAGCCTGATCAAGTTTTCTTTTCAAAGGTTAAAGATGAGTTTCCAGGCTGAACCCAAACCCTAAAGATTGTAGCAGGACTCCAGAAGCAACATTTACAAATCTTTGCCACCTTTTTGAAGACGTAAGACTGAGCAGGACATGAATCAGCTGTATCAGCCAATATGACAGAGTTATTAGTCACTTAAATGTTCTTTTTCTTTTTTTGCCCTCCTGCTTCCAGTACATGACTACAGCCGAGACAGTAGCTGTAATCACAGATGACAGATTAGGTCCAGCTTCTGTCTCCCTGCTTGTTGATGCAACTGCTTAAGGGGGATTCCAGCATGACGCAGCCCCTCTCAACCCACCCAGGAGTGGGCTCCACCTACAGATTCCTCTGGTGGGCCACCGCAGGAGTGGATGTTATGGTTTCACGCCTGCGCCTCAGTTTAAAGAGAAAGAGAGAGAGCAGCTGCTTCCTTCAAAGGGTTACATGGGACACACTTGTGTAGGTAATTCGATCTAAATCAATAACAGGATATTAAACAGGCAAGTTTATTGCTATAACTTATCCTTATGAAATTAAAGCTGATTGCACCCTGCCCATTTAAGGCATAGTGCAATCAGCTTTCCACAGGTAGCTGAAATGATGGCTGGTGAAAATGGGTGAAGAGGTGTTAATATTTTTTTCATATTAACACAAACTGAGAGAATTTATTAAGAACGAATAAATAAAAATCAATCAATTAAATATTTTAAGCAAAAATAGTGGTATAAGCCTAAACACTGCTGAAATGCCATTTTTCTATTGCCTAAAAAAGGCCTTATTTATTTACAGTGAATATCTTAAAGTTCTGAACTTTAGGAAGACAAAAGGCATGGAGATGTTATGGGGATTTCCTTCAGGGCTTTCTAACTACACTTGGGCAATTCTTGCTTGTCACGTGTCCGAGAATAGTATGGTGCAG